CACCCCTCCACCCTTCCTTCTCCAATTCATCTAATTTCTTTCTCCACTTTTTTTTTTTAAATCTTCTCTCTAGTCTCTTCCATCTCTCTTCTCTCTAGTCTCTTCCATCTCTCTCCCCTCTAGTCTCTTCCATCTCTCTCCCCTCTAGTCTCTTCCATCTCTCTCCCCTCTAGTCTCTTCCATCTCTCTCCCCTCTAGTCTCTTCCATCTCTCTCCCCTCTAGTCTCTTCCATCTCTCTCCCCTCTAGTCTCTTCCATCTCTCTCCCCTCTAGTCTCTTCCATCTCTCTCCCCTCTAGTCTCTTCCATCTCTCTCCCCTCTAGTCTCTTCCATCTCTCTCCCCTCTAGTCTCTTCCATCTCTCTCCCCTCTAGTCTCTTCCATCTCTCTCCCCTCTAGTCTCTTCCATCTCTCTCCCCTCTAGTCTCTTCCATCTCTCTCCTCTCTAGTCCCCCTATTACCTAGCAGTAAAATAGGTACCTGTACCTGGGTGTTAGCTGTCATGGGCTGCTTCGTGGGGGGTGGAGGCCTGGTCGAGGACCAGGTCGCGGGGACTATAAAGCCCCGAAATCATCTCAAGATCTCTCTCTCTCTCCCCTTCCTCTCCCCCTCCCCCCCCCCTCCCTCCCTCTCCCCCCTTTCCTCTCCCCCCCCCCCCTCCCTCCCTCTCCCCCCTTTCCTCTCCCACCCCCCCCTTCCCTCCCCCCCTTCTCCCCCTTTCCTCTCCCCCCTTCCCTCTCCTTCCCCCCCTTCCCCTCCCTCCCTCTCCCCCTTTCCTCTCCCACCTTCCCTCTCCTTCCCCCCCTCCCTCTTCCCCCTCCCTCACCCCCTCCCTCACCCCCCCCCCCCTCACCCCTCCCTCACCCCCTCCCTCACCCCCTCCCTCACCCCCCCTCCCCCTCCCTCACCTTCTCCCTCACCCCCTCCCTCACCTTCTCCCTCACCCCCTCCCTCACCTTCTCCCTCACCCCCTCCCTCCCCCCCTCCCCTCACCCCCTCCCTCACCCCCTCCCTCCCCTCCCTCACCCCCCCCCTCACCCCCTCCCTCACCCCCTCCCTCACCCCTCCCTCACCCCCTCCCTCACTCCCTCACCCCCTCACCCCCCCCCCTCACCCCCTCCCTCCCCCCTCCCTCACCCCCTCCCTCACCCCCTCCCTCACCCCCTCCCTCACCCCCTCCCTCACCCCCCCTCACCCCCTCCCTCACCCCCTCCCTCACCCCCTCACCCCTCCCTCACCCCCCTCTCCCCCCTCTCTCCCCCCCCCTCTCCCCGCTCTCTCCCCCCCTCCCCCCTCTCTCCCCCCTCTCTCCCCGCTCTCTCCCCCCTCGCCCCGCTCTCTCCCCCCCCCCCCCTCTCTCCCCGCTCTCTCCCCCCCTCGCCCCGCTCTCTCCCCCCCTCGCCCCGCTCTCTCCCCCCTCGCCCCGCTCTCTCCCCCCTCGCCCCGCTCTCTCCCCCCCTCGCCCCGCTCTCTCCCCCCTCCCCCCGCTCTCTCCCCCCCTCTCCCCCCCCTCTCTCCCCCCCTCCCCCCCTCTCTCCCCCCCTCCCCCGCTCTCTCTCTCCCCCCTCCCCCTCTCTCTTCCCTCTCCCCTCTCTCTTCCCCCTCCCCCCTTTCTCCCCCCTCTCTCCACCCCTCTCCCTCCCCCTCTCTTTCTCTCCCCCTCTTTTTCTCTATTTCTCTCTCTTTTTCTTTTTTTCTCTCTTTGTGGGCTTGTCAATTATCTTTACCGTCACTCATTTCTCCTTTCTTTTCCCAATACCCACATTCTCTCTCTCTCTGCTTTAGTATTGGAGAACTAAAACCTATTGTATGAACTGGGAAGAGGAGTAAAGGTGAAATATAACATTTCAGCAAGGTAAGGTGTTTTACGAGGAAAACGTATTAGTGTTATATATACTGTTACCAGAAATGATCGTGGCAGTGTTTAAGAATTTAGTAAGAGGAACATTTTGTTTTCTTTGTCAGTGTTTATGTTATGAATTGTACTTTGCATTTATTTGTCATTTCCTTTCTTCATTTTAAAATTCTACCCAAGATTTTTCAATCCTGTTTACATGAGCATTCCAATTTATTCTATATTACTAGAACTCGCAGGACATGAGCAGTTAATTGTCATGCCCCACTAGCAGAATCAGAATTGGAGTAGGTGTTCTTTGTAAGTGGATAAGTTAAATTCGAGTTATAAACTGCATCCAAAATATAGACAAATAAACCTACCATTTCATAAGCAGTCGTATGTTTAATAAGCCACTAACCCCTTACTAAATTCAACATTTTTTATTTTTTGTTTTACTGCCTTTATGCCATGGAAAAGAGAGGCTCCATTTTCTTACAAGATGGACCCATTCTATCATCAGACACATTAGTCCTTTTTAACCCATTTTTAGTCAACCACCTTGCCTCAACTGCAGATTATTATTCACCATTTCCAAATCAGAGAAGCCTCTTCATTTAAGAGACCAGTGCTTTGTTTTGATAAATCATAAATCTTGAACAAGCTTTCTTAGATCTGTGGGTAACAAGCTTTCTTAGATCTGTGGGTCATAAATCAAGGAGGCTACGTGGCCTGCTACAGGAAGCTGTAATTGGTGCATGCCACATGTCTTTTGCAATTTTATAACTATCAGATGACCTTTTCTTTGCTACTGTTAGTATAGTTGGTCATGATGAGGTGTTAAGTGGGAGGTCAGATGCCATTTTAAGAAAATTTCCAAGTTCTAGGATGACCTTCAGGCCAGATAGCAGAAGGAAGAATGCTTATTTGGAGTAACAGCCCGGACAAGATTCTCCAGGTTAGTTCCTGATTGTTGCTGAAGAGTAGGGAATTAAATTTGTAAATTACATGGGTTTAGGTGAATGAAAGATGACAAGAGAGAGTTCTGAATAATTGTGGGATGATTCAATTCAGGTTGGTGCAATATATAGATTAAATGTCATGGATTGCAATGTTTTAACTTTGTTGGTGGCTTAGGCTCAGAATTTTTTTATACCTTCAACATTAAATTTTTCTGTGTATAGGAAATAACATTAATTTAATAATTGATGTAAGTCATGGAAATTCATTTAATATAAAAATCTGAATTATTAGATCATCCTCTCAATTTTGTATCACCATGATTCCTTAATGTTCCTACAATACAATGAAGTAAAAGGTAATTAGGGTATGTGTATATCTGTTATTACAATGTAGTTTTGGTTGAACGAGACCTACATTTGGAGTGTAATTATCATCCACATATTTTTTGCATAATTACATTTCATCAGTTGGTAAGTAATGTTTGGATTTATTGTGTGATAATATTAGGGTCTTGAATGTTGTACTGTACTTTAATGGAAATCCATAGAGTTGTAATTTGGATGTTTTACTTGTGGTAGACAATGTCATATATTATTTGTATATTAGGTATACAATATCATCATACACTTAACCTAGCACACATGCAGTTAGTTATTACAAAGTTAGGCATTGATTGATTTTTCTGTTATCACATTATATTTTGTGCTGAATGACATTTTATCATAAAGTTATAGTTTGTGTATAACTTTTGACAAATTAGTTTGCTAGGGTAAAGCAGGCGACATTTTGAATCTCGGTGAAGTCTGATAATTTGGCAAAGATAGTTTGCACAAAAGTTTTGGTCTGTTGCTCATCTCAGATAAAGTCACTATCAGAGATAAAACAAAAGATCAGCATTTTTCTTTTTTTCCAAAATTGGAAACAGGGTTTTTAAACTAATTATGTGGCAAGTGTCACTACCACATGTGGCTCTAGACAGGCTGTTGTCCTCTGAATCATGCAGCTTCATAGTCATCATTTGATGGTTTCTGGGGTTAGGTTGATGGAATATCAATGGGGAAAATTTCTTAGCTAAATCATTTATCTAAATAATGGCCAGGAAACATCAATGAAAATGTAACAGAAGCCTTTTAAATTATGATTGTTCAAATAGGCTTTGAGATTTCAGGATATGAATGAATATTGAAATAAATTAATTTGTAATGGATATGCCTTTGATAGCAATTATTTAATTATGAGTTATTTGCAGGATTTTTTACATATACTTAGTGAAAACTAGTATAAACAATTTTTTTTATAATTAGTGAAACTGAATTTGAATGTTACAGATTGGAGAGAAATTCACTTACGGAATTTAATTCATGGAAACTGAGCCTTCTTTCATTATAGCTTCTTTTTTTTCAGGCTTTTCAAACTTCACTTCTCCAGAAGCACCCAATTTCCTATTCTTTTCCTTCTCTCTCTCTCTGTTTCCTTGGCTTTGCTGTACTCTATAGTTGAAATATTCAGCATTTTGTTTATAAGTTTGTTCTAAGTGCCGCCAACTGACACCTGCTTCATCTGTATGATAGCAATAACACCATGAATTCTCAGGCAGAAGTTTAAAGCATTGCTGTTAGATAGTTTACAAGGTAACTTACAGATATATGGAAAGACTTCATGTCATCCAGATATGGTGGTGGCAGGAACTGGCACACTAAAACGTGAGACTAAAGTTTGTTGCCATTATGAGAGAATACAGAAGAAATATGATAAGGGTTAATACCTAATTTACAGCTTTATATTCATTGAAGCAATTTACCCGATATTGAGATGAAATTATGATATTGCAGGACTTTGTATTTGAAAAATCAGTAATATCTGTCTGAGCAATTTACGTTTAAAAATATTTTCCCATGCCTAATGCAAGTTTTGCCATTGTTGTTTATTCAGAAAAAACTATTTATATTTGAGAATTCAGCTAGAAATATTTTTTCTTTTTAAAAACTTCACAGTGGTCTCTCGATCCATATTTTGAATATAAAGGAGTATAATTTTGATAATTGTTGTAAAGTGTTTCGTTACTTGCAATTTACATTCAGTTCCTCCACTCTTGCATTGTACATTATTTATTTTTTTCTTTTAACATATCCTTTTGTAACAAAACTGCTTATTGGATGTATTATTCTCTTAAATAATCATATTCATTCATCAATTAATTTCAGACATGTGATATGGCGTGTTCCACAGCTTAGGGGTTAATTTTGAGTCGTGTGTTAATGTGTTACTGTTGTCAACGTATGAGTTGAAAGGCAGTGAAGAAGTCGGCAGTGTGAGGCATGGTAATGGACTACATTCGGCATGGGAGATGGTAAAGAACTCCACTTTCAGTGTGTGAGATGGCAATGGACTACATAATGGGAGATGGTAAAGAACTCAACTTACAGAGTGACGTGGTAGAGGACTTCATGTATTGCAAAAGATGGCAAAGAACTCTTTCAGAATGTGAAATGAAAAGGACTACGTAGTGAGTGGTGGCAAAGGATGCTTCTTACAGAATGGGAGATGGTAAAGGTCTCAAGATGCTGTCTGATTTCTTAATCTTTTTCTCTTGTAGTTCTTCCCATCTTTCCTTTTTCTTTGCACTCTTCCATATTATTTGCTTGACTGTCTCTTCTTTTCCAATGCAAGATTCTCCTTACACATCTTTTCTTTTTGTGTACATCTGTTTAACACAGTGTCTTGTGCTGCTGTTCATGGTATTTAGCTTCATCTTCAATTCACTTTGTTACCTATATACATATGTATTTCCTCCTCTTTGCCACTGTCTTCTCCTCTTTGTCACTGTCTTCTCCTCATCTTGCCACATTCTTCTCTTTGCCAGTTTTCTCCCCTTTGCAGCCCCCCTCTCCTCCTATTTGCTGCCCCCTTCTCCTCCCCTTTGTGGCCCCCCTTTCCTCCCCTTTGCAGCACCCTCTCCTCTCCTTTGCAGCCCTCCCCTCTCCTCCCCTTTGCAGCCCTTCCCTCTCCTTTGCAGCCCTTCCCTCTCCTTTGCAGCCCTTCCCTCTCCTTTGCAGCCCTCCCCTCTCCTCTCCTTTGCAGCCCTCCCCTCTCCTCCCCTTTGCAGCCCTCCCCTCTCCTCCCCTTTGCAGCCCTCCCCTCTCCTCCCCTTTGCAGCCCTCCCCTCTCCTCCCCTTTGCAGCTCTCCCCTCTCCTCCCCTTTGCAGCTCTCCACTCTCCTCCCCTTTGCAGCTCTCCCCTCTCCTCCCCTTTGCAGCTCTCCCCTCTCCTCCCCTTTGCAGCCCTCCCCTCTCCTCCCCTTTGCAGCCCTCCCCTCCCTATTGTGGCCCTCCCTCTCCTCCCCATTGTGGCCCTCCCTCTCCTCCCCATTGTCAGGGTCGTCGTCTTTCTGTCAGGGTCATCTTTTTCTCTGTCAGGAGTTGTCTCTTCACTGTCAGGGGTTGTCTCTTCACTGTCAGGAGTTGTCTCTTCACTGTCAGGAGTTGTCTCTTCACTGTCAGGGGTTTTCTCTTCACTGTCAGGGGTCGTCTCTTCACTGTCAGGAGTCGTCTCTTCACTGTCAGGGGTCGTCTCTTCACTGTCAGGGGTCGTCTCTTCACTGTCAGGGGTCGTCTCTTCACTGTCAGGGGTCGTCTCTTCACTGTCAGGGGTCGTCTCTTCACTGTCAGGGGTCGTCTCTTCACTGTCAGGGGTCGTCTCTTCACTGTCGGGGGTCGTCTCTTCACTGTCGGGGGTCGTCTCTTCACTGTCGGGGGTCGTCTCCACTGTCGGGGGTCGTCTCTTCACTGTCGGGGGTCGTCTCTTCACTGTCAGGGGTAGTCTCTTCACTGTCAGGGGTCGTCTCTTCACTGTCAGGGGTCGTCTCTTCACTGTCAGGGGTCGTCTCTTCACTGTCAGTCTTGGTCTTCTCTGTCAGGGGTCGTCTTTTCTCTGTCAGGGTCGTCTTCTCTTTGTCAGTCTCTTCCTTTTAGCTATGGCCTTCTCTTTGCCACAGTCTTCTCCCTATAGTCTCCTCCCCAATCTGCTACTTTCAGTCTTACCCCTTCCCATGACTTCTGTCTCCCCTCTTTGGCCCCCTACTTCTCCTGTTTCCCAACACTGGCTTTCCTTCAATGGTACTGTCTCCTTCCCTCATCTTCCTCTCTGGTGCGCTGTCTCTTTCCCTTATGCCCCTCCTTGGTGTGCCCTCTGTCCTCCCCTTCTCTTTCTCACTGGTTCCCAGTCTCCTTTCTCTGCCACTTTCTCCTTTCTTCCTCTGCCAGCCACACTGTGCCTGCCACTTTTTCCTCCTGCTTTTCTATATTATCATCAAGTAGGATTTCATTACATCAGATTTTACTTTAGGTTTTTCCATGTATTAAATAAGCAGTAAGTTTTATGCAAATAGAGTTACTAAGGAAATAAACATGCCCAATTTTCAGCAACTATATGCTCTGCTCGCTTGAAACACTCATTTTTGGCTTGTGAGATCTTTCCATTAGTAAGTTGACCAGGAAAATTCAGTTAAGTGATGGAGAGAATAATTAGTAGCTTCACACAAAAATTAATTTAGGATGCCTGAAATTCATTTAGGAATCTCTTATTATTCATTATTTAAAATATTCTCATAAAATAAGATTAAAATAAATGATAGGATTGTATGAAGATGCTAAGATTTTGCTCTTGGTACTTCATGTATATAATAGAAACCAGAAATAAGGTTGGGCTTGCACTGTGGTGATTGTATGATTGTTAGGAATTGCTAGATAACTTGGTGTTTTCATAAGCAGGCTTGTTAAGGAAAATCATACTGTGCAGTTTATTTTAGTACACAATATTCTTATTGAGTTGGTGAACAAACTAGGTAAGCATAGTGATAACTTGGAGGAGCTGTCGTATGGCTTTCATGGTAAAGAATAACATGATAAATCATTAGCAGACCTGTACTCTGCCAGTTATAGTGCCAAGATCATAAGAAGGTCATGAGCTGCATCCTCCCCACCCTCCCCTTCCTTTTATTTTTTCTGACACAAGTGGGTACGGGAACAAATGAGGCTGAGAGCTTTTTCAATTCCATAGCTCATGGTAAGACTTTCCCACAAGTTTCCTTGGAATAATAATCCACCAATTGTTTTTTAGGATTTCATCAGTGACTATCAGGACTAGGCAGATAACCAAGCATAGGACAGACCAATAACCAAATAGTCCAATAAAATGTACTAGAGAAGAAATGTAAATGAGAAAAATATATATAACACAATGAATGAAATAATACATAAAACAGACTGTGAAAATTAACCTAGGCAGTATTTACACAGGAACCATAATATTTTGAAGCAATGCACATAATTATGCAAACACAGGGGTCCACTTCACCCACAAAAGAGCCTGGGGCAAGCTTAACAGGAAGTGACCCATCAAATGACAAGCATCAAGAGAGAGAACCCACCCTGATCCTCACCACACACACAATCACACACCAATACTCCATCAAACCACATCACAAAACTAAACAACCATCCATCACCAAGGTCAAACAAAACACCCAGTGCATCAATGCAATGTAACCACTAAACCATCAATGTTCACAATTTAATGCAAATGATGCGTCAACTTATAATATCCAAACCACACATTAGAAAATGAAGGAACATCATCCTTTTAATCCATCCTTGACCATTATCAAGTTGTGTAATAGAAAGAGTGGAAGAGAGAAAAGATTGTTTGAAAGAAGGTAGAGAATTGAAGTTAAACAGTGAGACGATTAATTGCGGGATCCATATATACAGATGATGAGTGACTGAAGTTATGATATGCAAACCACTCATCATAAAATGTTTGTGTTGGCAATGTTTCTCCTCGTGTCATTCCATCCATTCCATCCTATATGTGTCGCCTGCATCTGGAGACTAGCCTTTTTACGGCTGAACTTTATGCACTTATGTTTGCTCTGTCAACTGCTTTCTTGCCGTAATTCTTCCTTTGTTATAGTTGACTCCCACAGTGCCCTCATGGCTCTGTAGTATCTTAATCCTGTCCATCCTGTGGTCGTCGAAATTCAATATTGGCCGTTTCTTATCTCGAGCAGATTTAAGACAAAACCCTTGTTTTGTTGGGTTCCTAGCCCAACAATTGCCTTAAGTGAGCGTGTGGATGCTGCCGTGGAGGAGGCTATCCGCACTTCTCTCATTTCCTGCAAAGGTGTTCCTTATTTCAACTTCTACGCTGTTGTTCATTTCTCAATCCGCACCCATTGGCAGGATCGCTGGTCTTCTGTTACTGGTTACAAGCTGCATGCTCTTAAGGGTAGTGTGTGCCCATGGCTTTCCTCCTTCCACCATAACTGTCGGTGGGAAACGGCTCTGGCGAGGTTACGTATTGGCCATACCCGTTTAACTCACGGGCACTGAATGGCGCGCTGCCCTGCTCCTTATTGTCTGAATTGCATTGTCCGTCTTATGGTCATGGCATATCCTTGTTGAATGTCCTGACTTCCAAAATGTTTTCACCTAGTTGTGCTTGCAGGGGTTGAGCTCTGCGTTTTTGGCTCGCCTCTCAACTGTCAATCAATCATCCGATTTATTTTTTTCCCCTACACACACCCACCCCTTTCCCCAGGAAGCAGCCCATAACAGGTGTCTTTAACTCCCAGGTACCTATTTACTGCTAGGTGAACATGGGCATCAGGGTGAAAGAAACTGCCCATTTGTTTCCGCCTCCACCAGGGAGGCGGTGGTAGGTGTGATTGTGTGTATTGAAAGAGGAGCGTCAGAGGTAGAACGTTCCTAGATGACAGCCAGCGTGTACGGGGGGATTATGTGAAATTACTGGTCCGGCTTCAGAAGAAGCCTCAGGAAACCCTCGCATGTTCAGCAGAACTCAGGTTGCAATACTTTTGACCATGTCATGGGCTGATTATCTGAGGCATGTGCATTATTATTATTATTACCACATAATATTATAAGAATCTATATTGGGTATTCGATAATTTTTTATATACTTTACCAGTATCTGGAAATAAACAGTCACAAAACTTTTGTGGTGACAAAACAATCTTGCTTAAGGGGACATAACATAGGAAAAGTGGAAGTTGTTAAATTTCAATAAAAAATATTCTGACTACTGTAGTTATATATGAAGAAGGCTGCAACTGGTTCAATTTTCAGCATCGCAGTCTAAATAGAAAGGGAGAAAAAAATACCCGTTCTATTTAAACTGCGATACTGAAACTTGAACCAGTTGGAGTCCTTTTCATATACAAATAGTCAATAAATATTGATTGGAGTAAAAAAATTTTTTAGTGGACTATGTTATGGCCCCATAATCTTGTCAGATAATAAATCTATTGTATCCTCAGTAAAGATTTCCTTTATTAACATGAGAATTCTCATATTACACATTTAGTGTTTGACAGTAGTGGGATCTTTCAGAACTTCAAATAGCTGCCATAAGCCACTTGCTTCTGCTGCCTAATTTACTTTTTTTGTATACTTTGACCATTTATGTTTTTATTATAAGTAAAGTAATATAATACATAGGTTCGTAATGTCACATGGAAAATTGGAGAAACCGGACTCTTATTAATATAAGAATAATGTTAATTTTATAGTTGTATATATTTCTTTGCTGAACCCTACAGTGGTTGCAAGGGTTCATTATCGCAGCTAGTAGCAATCTGGTCTTTGCTAATTATTGAAGGCCTTTCAAACAGGACCAGATTATAGTGTTTCCACATAGGTGAAGGAAGTGTAGGGATTGTAGATCAACCTACACCAAAGCAAGCCACACTTGGTTAAAACATCACCTAAACAATCTTAATGTTCGTGGTGACACTGAACAATCGTTGAAACATGTCAAACGATAGTTGGCCATAGGTAACAATCCTTACCTTATTGCCATGGGTAACAATCCTTACCTTAATACCATGGGTAACAATCCTTACCTTAATGCCATGGGTAACAATCCTTACCTTAATGCCATGGAGAGCCCTGCTTGTTAAATATTGTAATGGCTTATACTCTCCTTTACTGTCATTAAACTACATTTTCCTGAATATTTTCACTGCCTCTTCCATACTAATGTTCTATTTATGGATGAATTGAATTTTGCCAATGGCATTGTTTTTCTTAATCAACCGTTTGTTCTACCTTCCCCCAAACTAATATTTTGTACAGTGGAGCTTTGTGAGTTATGCTCTGTAACAAGTACTTCATATGTGCCATTGGTTTGTACTCTTGCAGTTGACTCAGTCCTGATATGGCTCCAGAATCTTTAAAGCCTTCCGACTCTGTAGTGATTGAGATCCAGCATTGGCTGTATTTTCATCTTTAGCAGATTTAAGTTCAATTTTGCTTGGTTACCTGTAGTATTGGGGTAGCTTCTAATGACTGTGTGTGAATGATAATGCTACTGCAAAAGAGGCTGCTTGTTTCTGTTCCATCTCCCAAAAATGGATTCCATATTCTGCATTTTACCCTGTCATTCATAATGCAATCTGCATTATGAAGATATTTGGCTGGGTATTAAAAATAACAAACTCCTAACAATTAAGTGTTAACAGGTCTGACGAGGTTACGTATTGACCATGTCTGCTTATTTGATTGCCCGTTAATGGAGTAAAGACCTACACTACTGTTGGAACTGCATCGTCACACAAATGGTTGCATACTTCACATAATGCCCAGACTTTCAAGATTGGAAATCTTGCTTTCCACTTCATTTGTTATACATTCCTCAGTAAAATTGTCCGTGAATCTAATTGCTGAAACTTTTCTTGTTTTTTTTTTTGCATTTACAAAAATAAATGTTACAGTGAAAGGGTTAATAATTTTATTGATATTTTGTCTTGAATACTGTACCAATGACCAGGTATTGAATTACATAGACCATATTGTCAAAAAATAGAGGCCTTGCATTTTTTATTTTCAGTATTTTTGTAATTACATTTGAAATTGGATTTTCCTTACTGTAAAGGTTAGAAAAGTTTGAAAAAATATATAAGTCACTATTAATAACTTGTGACTATTATTAATTTTCCTTTGGATATTTTTCATTCTATGCAAATATCTTTTACCATCTGGAGGGTGAAAAGACACGATCATTTAATCTTTCCATTTTTATTGTTCAACATTTTGTCAGCAATGTGACATCTTCAGGAGTACACTGTTGCACTAACACAGCTATACTGAGCTTGCAAGGCAAAATCTAGACATTTATAAGTGTGGGTACACCCCACTCTACGATTCGCCTAACCCCCTTAATCGTAGGGAGCAGCAAAGGGTAGAGTTAGGTGATGGTTGCCTGACTCTGGCTCTAGCTGTCCGCCATTGTAGGTCTTACATTTTCCCTCTGGATCAATAGAGGATCATCAAACAGTTGTGTGCTCGAAGCCCAAATTACACATTATATATATATATATATATATATATATATATATATATATATATATATATATATATATATATATATATATATATATATATATATATATATAAAATATATATATATATATATAATATATATATATATAATATATATGGGTGTATTGTGATATGTAATGAAGGAATTTGTGATATGTGGTTTTCAGAAATGCCTTTTTGTTAGCTACAGGTTGTAATTTTAAGTTAGTGACAAAACATGTATAATGCTAGTGTAAACAATTATTGTATGGTAATTTAAATGTTGTGTCTTGTATTTGTCATTTCAGAGCCCATCGAGGAAGGCCTCGCCACAGATCACGATCCAGGTCACGGTCTCGTCACCGTAGCCGTTCTCGTTCCTGAGGATCAAGTCGGCAGAGTTCTAGTGCGCTGGTTTGCAGTACTGGTAGGCATCCTTGAAGAATCATTTTGGGTTCCTGAATACCACGTTTGGAAACCCCTAATAAATGTATGAAGATGAAAGACATTTCCATGCTAACGTATATCGAACAGCATAGTACAGTATGGCTGTCGGTCTTCAGATTTTGAGATATTGTCTTGGTTTCATTAATTTTTTACTACAGTACAGCATACTGATTTTTTGAAGTGTTTATGGTTAAATTATCACAGTTTTTATCAATGTAAACTGAATGTGGTCACTACTGGCACAAATTTGTAAATGATACCAGCTTTCCCAGGCTCTCAATGATACAGCTTTTTTTCATTTTTATTGGCATATACAGTTTAGGATAATGAGACTATTTGTCACTCATTTATGATATATCTTGATATATTGTGTTCAGCACAGGCATTACAATGAAGTGTGTTGGTTAGGAGGAGCTAATGCAGCTACATTTGGCACATTCCATATCTTATGCCCTTACATTATATGGCCATATAAAGCAAGAGTGTGTGTGTAGCACATGCATACATATTTTATAGCTTTTCTAAAGCATTGTGGTAATTAGATGAACACAATTGTTTATTGGAAGAATTTTGGCAAATAAATAATTTAACCAATATGGGAAATATCAGGAAAGTATCTTTCTTTTGAAGTAACCTTTTATCTGAAACCTTTTCTCACCAATAAAATCAGAAGCTGGGCAGGTAATTGTTAAAAAATACACATTATTCTAAAATGTGAATGTTAACATTAAATGTTTTATTATGGCCTGTTTACATCTGAAGATTGGTGGTTGTCATTTAAAACGATTACCTAAATAATTTTTTCAGTGTTTAGCACACGTTGAAAAGTCTAGTAGTGTTTAAATGTTTAATGACTTTATTGTTACACATCCACAATTATGGTGAAAGTTAAATACATTGAGTATTTAAAGGCAGTTTCTTGGTAAATGTCTGCTGCTGGAAGTTGGAGAATATTAAAAAAAACAATGTAGTGCTAGTTTTGTATTAAAAGTGAAATAGTTTGGTGTATTTTGAATTTCCGTTTTTCATTATTTTATATATATATATATATATATATATATATATATATATATATATATATATATATATATATATATATATATATATATATATATATATATATATATATATATATATATATATATAATATCCCACTGGCTGCTGCTTCATTAACTATTTAGTATACTTTTCTAAAGCCAAAAATGTTTAACAGGAATTAAGTGATATAATGTCTCAACCTAATAATTAGACTAATTTTGTTATCTGTTTTAGATGTTCCTTCCAAAACTGCACCATAATTAAACGTCTCCAAATGTTTCTCAGGTCATTTAAGGCAAAAGGTTCATTAATCCAGTAAGTGGCAGCAAATTAGTGGCCATCCTTCCCAAAGTGTTAATGTTAAATTAATTGCTCATATTAAGAAACTAGAGAGAAGCACAGAAATACACATGCACAAAGTGCACACATGCATGCTTACAGACAGACACACACACAGAAAATGTGATTTTATTGGGCATTCACACAATGTACTCATACACGACCACACACGGGGAGATGTGTACACAAACTTCAAGAAAATGTTTCAAATTGTGGCTGTTGACCTTTGAAAATGGTACATGTGGAATGATTCAATCATGGAGAAATTATCTATGGAAAGGGAACTTTTTTATTAAAACAAATTAAAACATTCAAAACCCATTCACAGCTGTTTTTAAGAGTTGATTTGCACATTAACTAGTTTAAGGAAAATGAACTAGACAGCTAAATGGTGTTTGAAATGAGATGTGATTTAGATATGTAGATAATGGGGTAAGGATGGCATTATAGATGTGCATATCAGTATCGGTGGCATGTAGACCCAATTCTTGCAATGTATGACCAAGAGTTTACATTATTATTGTGATAAATTTATTTGCAGTAAATCCACGGACTGGGTTTCACATTATAGAGATTTGGGGGTAAGCTGTTGCTAATTAGCAATTCCTTTTGATTTTGTCCTATATAATAAGTCAGATATCCTAAAGATCATGTTTTATATATTGTACTCAAGTACAGTATAAAGCAGAAGGAAGGAGGTTTAACATTACAAATTTAATTTTTAAAAGTGAAAATAAACTTGATACTACAGAAGTTTTAAAGTTTAAATTCATATGGTCTGTTACATGTTGTGTTGTACTGGACCTATGTGATAGGCCATAACATGAAATTATTTTAAATATAGTAATTTAGGTCAGTATATTATGATCTTGTATTTTTCCCCATTATGCCAAAGTTGTTTCTGGAACTACATTTTTCATTTTGGTAAGAACAGTAGTTTGTTAATTTTGTTTTATAAAATTTATTCAAGTACAGTATTTAATTTGATAAGAGCAGTTACCAATAGGTTTTGAGTTTATAGTTTTTTTTTTTTTTTTTTTTTTTTTTATAATTCCATGAGGCAATTTAGCTGCTTATGAAAAATGCATTTATTGGTAGGAAAAAATTGTGTGCGCAAGATATTTTCTGATTCCTAAAAGTATTCATTTATTAACTGTTGGAAATTATAGTTCAAGAATTTGCAGAGGGAATGGCTAATTCAGGAAACAGATATATGCAGTGGTTTTTAACTACTGAATAGTTGGTCCAACAATAATAGGCTTATTTTTTTGTATTTTAATTGGTTCATTTATTTGTAATTTAGTGAATGATTACAGATGACAAAATTTACTGGTAAAATTTATATAGTTTTGATGAGAGTTGAAATTGAGCAACTATGTATTTTGGTTGTGTATATGGATAATAAATCATGATTTAATTCTTTTGCATTGTTTATGTATGGACCCACATTATTTGTTGAGATAGCACATTTATGCACACCAGAAGATTAAGTGAAAGAAAGTGAAATCCTTGTGGATTTGTTCATTTGATGCATCACGCTATTGTGAATTCTGTGTGTAATGAAGTAAGCTGAAGAGGTAGAACAGCTTTTTGACAGCCCGGTTGCATGGAGAAATTGTGTAAAACCCTGGTTTGTCTCGGAGAGACTGCAGGATTCGTGTGATGCAGTTCTTTTTACCATGTCTTGGCACAGTCGATGAAGGTGCGTTTGGGATCCTCTCTGGAGGTAGGTTCGAACCCTCATCATGGCCCTTGTGGATTTGTTCGTAGAGTTACAAGATACGAGCTAGATGGTGTTGGGATTGCGAAAGGGATCTGGGAGTTATGATTAGTAAGAATTTAAAACCGAAAATTCAATGCATAAATGTTCGTAATAAGGCAAATAGGACACTGGGATTTATTAATTGAAACGTTAGACATCAGGTGGTGTTCTTAGCTTTATCTTGCTCTGGTTAGGCCCCATTTAGATTATGCCGTTCAGTTTTGGTCGCCATACTATAGAATTTATATAAATTCACTTGAACGTGTCCAGCGTAGGATGACTTAGGTTAATCCCACAAATTAGAACCCTGTCATATGAAGAAAGATTAAGAAGTAAAGATCAATGGTGTCTGGTACTTTTATTAAAAGTATCAACACAGGACAACACGAAACAATGGGTATAAATTGAATAAGTTTAGATTTAGGAAAGATCTGAGTAAATACTGGTTCAGTAACTTGTTGATTTGTGGCCTGTATAAAACTCCTATTATAAGATTTTTAGCTTTTTCGTTTAATTCTAACCAAATAGTTTCTGTGAGTGGCTCAGTTTTGATTCCCTCTTTGAGACTACATTTCAAATTTTCCCTCACATATATGGCTACTCCCCCTCCTCGTCTAGTATATCCGTGAAATAGTTTAAATTCGTTTATTTGATATTCAGCTAATAGTTCTCTGCTTTCTACATTTAGCCATGTTTCGGTAAGTGCAATAATATATACTGTTTCTGTGCAGACAAGAGCATTTAAATCGTTTATTTTGTTTCTTGGACTCTTACTGTTTGTGTAATATACCTTGAATGTATTGCTATTTTAAGGCCTTTTTCTTTCCCTGTTCATTTTGCAAGTTTTTTCCCCACAACACATTTTTATTACCTCCTTTCTCCATATTAATTCCAATATCACTATCTACTAACAGTTTAAACCCAAATCAACCCCTCCTACCACAGGTTCCAACGAGTTCACAACAGCATAAAGTCATGAGAAACTGTACATCTCCTGCATTGCTCAGAGACAAATAATTTAGTGCTGTTAACACCCAATTGACTGGTGCCGACATTCTAGCTGGATTTTGGCATTTACGGCTTCAGCGGGTAGGCTGTTCCATGGGCTTATAACCCTCTGGGTGAAAAAACGTCATACAGGAACAGGAATGGACAGAATGGAAGATACAGGAACAAATGGACAGAATGGAAGATACAGGAACAAATGGACAGAATGGAAGATACAGGAACAAATGGACAGAATGGAAGATACAGGAACAAATGGACAGAATTTCCTTCCTTTGATGCCTCTGTTCATCTAAAAGTCAGAGATGAATAATCTCTGTTTAATAAGTTTATTAATAAACTTATTATTACTATTAATAAGTTTGTAATAAATAAAAAATTATTACAACAAATGAAGAATATATTTTGAAACACCGATGTCAAAGTTTTCTCTTAAGTTTGTTTCAACAGCTGAAGCAGAGGCTGCCTGATAATATACAAGTTTTGAAAAACATACAGTATCTCTCTTCTATTTTTTATTTTTATTTTATTTATTTATATACAAGAAGGTACATTGGGTTTGTAAAAATACATAGCATAGTATTTACAATCTTGTAAAGCCACTAGTACGCGCAGCGTTTCGGACAGATTCTCAGCAAATAATATGTTGCAGCCAAGCAAAATACTTCAGTTTGTGAAGTCATGAAGTGATTAGGTACATCACAAGAAACAATAGCTAAGGCTGAATACCAATTAACAAAAACAAATTTAATTATTGGAATAATAAAAGAGACAGACTCCCTCTTGAAAGAAGTCATTCAATTTAAAGATGCCACCGGTTCAAATTTATTTGAAGAGATTAGCAAATGTGGCATCTCTGCAGTGCTCTCCCAAATTATTTACACTGATGGCTCCGTGTATCAGTCTTATGGTGCAGCTGAAAGTGCAGTTGTTCTGACAGCGAGAGATGGCTCATACTGAGTGTGGACCGCGTATAATTAACTGGGTCTCCACTCTTCAAACAGAATTGTTTGCCATAATCCTTGCACTTGAACAAGTATAAGAGTCCAAAGGCGACACGTTAATTGAAAGTGACTCGACCTTGTCAGCCTTGAGGGCACTCAGCTCCCCAAGGCATAACTGTGACATGCTAGTGTCTGAAGGTAGGCACATATATACTGAAATACAGTAATCAATGTTGACCAGACCACACACTAGAAGGTGAAGGGACGACGACGTTTCGGTCCGCCCTGGACCATTCTCAAGGCCCAGGACATAATTTAGCCACGTTATTGTGACTCATCGCCTGCACAGTAATCAATTATGGGATCAGAGTTTGCCTCCTGTGGATTTCCTCCTATATTGTTCTCCGAATGCTGATAGAACTGATGAGTTAACTAAAGCATTTGCTCGTAGAGAGAACTAATTACTTTCTTGGATTGTCTTTCAACGGCCTGAGGGTAGTAATATTCTGGGAACAGCAACAAAAACAGCAGTTACCCAACTCCCAGGTATATATTTATTGCTAGATGAACAGGTGCTTCAAGTGAAAGAAAAAGTGCCGAAACGTCTGTGTCCTGTATGTGAAATGAACCCGGAACCTTTCAGTAGTGAACCAACTGCTACAGAACACCCACGTTAGTGGTTTACAGTTTATATAATTTGGACATACACTACATATTCACATAACATCAAATTTGGGAATATAATAGAAAACATGTGTATTTACACGTTGTGAATTAATTAATTTATTTTCAGTAGTTTAGTATATCATTACATAGTAATAGGAAGGACGATGATTTGCTGCACATTTAGAATTAAGGTGGACTCAGCTCTCAAGACAACTGTACTGAGAGTGTGAGGAGGAGTCCCTCGCCTCCCACCAGCGGCACTTTGTCCAGCGACACCTCAGACCTAAGGGGAGAGTATGACACTAATTAATGTGTTTATGGTCTCAGTATTTGCGACGGTGACTCCTCTTTGCCTTTCTGTGTGTTATTATCATATTAAGGGTAATACCTAATGTCATTAACTGGAGCAATCAAAGGTGAGTAGCAATTTTTTATGGAAGAAGGTTTCATGGAAATGTTTGTGGTACTCGCTTTAACAAGCATTTATTCAGCATCACTATGTAATCAAATGTATAAAAAAAACAGAATTTAGAGATAACTCTGTCAATGATGTTCAAGAAGTGTGGAAGTACTTTATTCAAAATGATGTACTACCAGAAATCTTTGTCAAGTATCCAATGTTTGCTTGCTGTAGGTAATGTACGCACATGACTAAATTAACTAAATTCTAACCGCCCGGTTAGATCGGTGTGTGAGTATGATTATATTAAGTGCAACAACTGAGTGACCGGCAAATGTAAATTGCCTTGTATAGAGATTGTTGTGGGACACCACCTATTAAACCACTTGTGATATAAAAAGACGATATATATCAAAATTGTGTAACTAGCTTCACAATATTGTTACCCACTCACAATAACACAATAAGTGTCTTGGGTGCACAATAAATTACCGCTCACAGGATAAGCGTTATTTAGGAGATTCCTTATCTTCAAGTAATAATGACTAAAGATTCTAGAGTATATCGTGAGTTCCTCACGATACTCCACTTGTGATCAAGGTGTCAACTAACCCAGGCAAAGTGTCTGCTGAAGTGTCAGTTGAGGAGCGGAGGATAACGAAGCCAGTACGAGGGAGCTCGATGTTGGCGTCCTGGTGCAAGTCCACTTCGATATCTTCCTGCGACGTATTGATCACTAGTATGTACGCCTCTGAGCCTTCCAGGTACCTGGAGACGAAAAATCAGACTTAGAATAGTTTCTGATATACCACGGTCCGAAATTTTTGGTAATTCAGTTATTGTAAACTAGTAACTAATTGCAGGCGATAAGTCACAATAACGTAGCTAAAGTAAGTTGACCAGACCACACACTAGAAGGTGAAGGGACGACGACGTTTCGGTCCGTCCTCGACCATTCTCAAGTCTGGTCAACTAGTAACTAATTAAAAAATTTACTGATGTATCAATTATAGTTTTAAAGATATCTGTAATTCAAGTTAAATTTTTTTAATATATAAATATTGTACTTTACAAAACATATCTAGTGTACAATTAACACTATCACAAACCTGATAAAACTAAAAATTTGCTCAGTGATAACTGGGAAAGCCAGATGACCTTTGCTGAACACATCTTCGTTCCTCAGAAGAATCAAATCCTTGTAAACTCTCAGATGACTGTTCTTTGTTTGTGTTTGAGCCTTTACGTTGAGAGTTTTGTAATTGGGGTTTACTGGCAGCCAGGTTGAGTTGGCAGAAGTAAAACCTACCGGGGAAGAAGAACATAAATCAGACTTACATTGATGTACTCTTATGTTTATTTCAATGTAACTGGAAGATTGATGTGATGGGAATAATGCGACTGGAAATTTCTTATTTTACTTCCGATTAATATTTTGTTGGAATTTGTGGCCATTTTCTCTTGGTCTGTTTGTGTATTTTTTTGATGTTGGAAACAAAATACACACTTATGATGTAGAGTATGAACCCTTCAAATAAATTCATTGTTTTACCATTATTTCGTTATCTGTCTTTTTAATTTTATCTTTCTGCTCTATGGTCTTATCTCTCTTATATTTATATCGTTATCTTCTTATTCTCCTCTCTTGTCTCTTACCAGCGAGCGTAGTGTTGTTCCACTGCATGGGTGTCCTGGCGGGGTCCCTGCTGTGCTCCTGGTAGTGGTCTGGGCCCCAGCGGCATCCTTGAGGGTCTTTTGTCTCTTCCCAGCTGATGGGCGTGTCCTCCATACCTGCCGGCACCACCATAACCTCTGTACTCATCACCCTAAATAATCACTTATCGAAATATATACAATTTTTCATTTAAACTCAAAAGAGTAAACAATGTCTAGATGTCTCCACCTACTGGACACTGAGGAGTTTGACTCCCTTGCTTCCTGCCGGGGCTACCGTGACCTACCTATCTCCTCGCCATAGTACGTGACGGGGGTACCAGGCAGCAGGAAGGTCATCATGTTGAGGGCGTCCACCAGGTCACTACCCAACCGCGTCGCCACCCGCCCGTGGTCATGGTTACCCAGCTGATCAAGGTCAATAGTTTGGTTACCAAAGTGATCAAGGTCAATAGCTGGAATTTAATTTTAAGAGACTAATAAATTTCTTTGCTTTGGCTATTATACGTATAACTGAAAAGAACCAATGGTAATTTAGAAGCGAGAGAGATAAGATGATGGAGAAACGAACGGAATTTGGGGAAAGCGTATCCATCGAATTTATGGATATCGAAAAGGCTTATGGTACCGTCAAGTGAGCTGGCGTATAGCGGTGATGAGGCGGAGACAAGCAAGAGGGAGGCAATGTGTAAAAAATGACTGGCAGTGTATGAAGAGTGCCTGGTGTTGTATAAAGAATTTTGGCAGTGTATTAAGAGTTGTTAAATACTGATAAGAGTTGCGGGATAAATATCACTGGGAAATGAAAGAGGAAGTTTAAATGGCAAGGGAATATCAACAAATTATAACAAGTACAGGCCCTTCACAAGACCCAGTGAAGCAACCCGTCCTCTTAAAAATCAACCCGTCCTCTTGAAAATAACGTCACTTTTCGCTCGTATGCGCGCTATGGCCAAATTTGGACGTAATTTGAAATGAAATCGACTCACAAAAGTGACGTACTGTTCCGTTTTCTGTTTGAGTAGTCCGGCCGACTCTGTAAGGTTAGAATAGATGACTTTCAAATTACGTTTTTCATAACGTTTACAGAGGACCTGCCAGGTGTTGCAGGTAGTCAAGATGAACTGTAAATGACCAGAGTGAAATGAAATACATTTGTAAGATAAAGAGACTTACAGATTAATATGGATGCGGGATAATTGTGTTTACTTGCAGACAAGGTGGACGGCAAGGCTACGGTGAAAGTTTTGTCAACGTGAGAGGATTACTGCGTAAGGATGGTAACAACGGCTCATGTTATTCTGTTGATAAGTATCTCTGGAGTCTGGCTTTGTGTTAACTCGATTTTTGTTGTCTAGTACCGGACATAAAAGGCATGCAATGATGAACTTTACACAAGACATACTATGAGCCCTAAATAAAGAAGTTAGACTGAAGAGAAGTACTAATCACCAGGTTGTGAGCACTAAACACAGAGGTGAAGCGCAGGGGAAGTACTCACCACCCAGTTGGCCCACTTGCCCTCTGGTAAGTTGTCAATCCAGAGGCTGATAATGGACTTGAGTGTCTTGCCGGTCAGCTGACTGCGGTTCTGGAGGTTGTCGATAAGGAAGAAGTTGAAAGGGAAGTCAGCAAGGGGGACTGTGTCGTTACCATAGTACTTCATCACCGTCTCAACATCACCGGAATAAACCTCTACCATCATCACTCTGTGGTACAGATACACACACACATTACTTCCATGGAAACATCTAACACCATAAATATTACCAAATATTGTCAAGTACTTGGTACAGTCCCAGAGATATATTTAGTTACAAATAACATTTGGTTTAAATGTTCGGTAAGCATATATAACCAGAAGACATTGTTAAATACTTGTCCTCTATTAATTTATACCTTTGGAACTTCCCTGGCATATTAAAAAAGCTACTATTCTCATAAATCCGATATATAAGTAAAATTTATTTTCTTAAATAAATAAACAATACTTTTGATATAGGCTTTTCAGAACTTTCAAAGAAATATATATATTGCAAAGCAATTATAAAGATATAGCTTCAAGGCTCTAACTATTTACTTTTAATGAAAACGAAATATTCTATTTGAAGTCGTCACTCAGCGAGACGGCTACAGTTTGTGTCTTGTGCCCAAAATCCTTTTAATAACATGAACACTAAACCCAGATATTACAGAGGTTATGACGAAGTGAACATCTTCACGTTCCCACTTTTATATCTTGTGGCTTGTGTTCCTCTCTTCCGGCCACTGATTTTATACGTAGATTCTTTGTTCAAAGCCTACCGAAAGTTTTATATATCTAACTCCATTTATCAGAAACGAGTGGAAAGTTCTATATCTGAATAATTTTATCTGAATGTAACTGAAAGTTCGGAGGTTTTTCCTCGATTCATCTGAACTGTATGGAGTTTTTTTTTTTATCTGGAGTGTGAAATATTTTTGTTCTGTAAGTTCTTAAATTAGGCATATACCTTTACTGCAAACATATCGTTTTTTGTGAGATGGAGTAAGGTGGAGACCCAGCCTTACCTGTCGAGTATGGTCTAAGACCTGAGAGACTGTACACTTCTCTACGTCATCACTACTCGTTAAGTAAGGCTAACCCAACCCCAACTCAACCTAACCTGACCTGACCCAACCTATCTTATCCTATCCTAACCAAAATAAGAGAAAATGTTGTGCTTTATATATGGTATTCACAACGTGTGTGAAGTCACTATGAGGCAATTTTATTCCGGCTCAGAAATATTTGTAGTGTGTACCTATCTGGGTACTTGTCGAGGAGCTGGCGCCACTCCCTCGTGACGGTGAAGGTCTCGGGCTGGTGGATGGTGAGGGTGTGGTTGAGGTACTCGTAGTCTTCAGGGTCGGTGATACCGGAGTCCACAGCCACGGGCTCGTCCAGGTTCAAGTCTGTCGGCCGTAGTGGACATAGTTAGTGGTCTGATGGGTGGAACACCAAGTTGTGGAAACTTAATGTTGCACTTAAGAGGACAGCCTTCTCTGAAATACATTGGGATTGAACTGACCAACACAATGGTAAAGAACAGAAAGTTGTTTGTTTAAGAATCACGTGGCCAAGAAACAGGATGTAGAGGACACTTCTGTAACATTTCTGTATCAAAAGGAACTTTATTTAGCAACTTCATGGGTACAAAATATAGTAGTTTAGTTTTTACATAGAAAACCCTTTCCTTCTGAAACTGAACTCTTGCCTTCCACGAGGGATTATGAAACAGAACACTTGTCTTATGTGAAACTCTGAACACCTGTCTCTCACGAAGGGGTTTGAAATTGAACGCTTGCCTTCCGTGAGAGCCAAGCACCGCTTCTGTGCCAGGTAAATCCACTACGGCTTTCCATAGCCCGTTCTACTTGCCCCTCTCCTGTGCCAGGTAAGTTACGGGCTCACCATAGCCCGTGCTACTTGGAGCTTGTTCCGAGTAGCTGAATCTATAACAACAACATTCCGTGAGGGGTTACAAGAAACTGAACGCTTGCCTTCCACTTCGACGAGGTGTTGCAGGGCGTCCACACGGAAGCCGTCCACTCCCTTGTCCAGCCAGAACGTCAACACTTTCTGAACGCACCCGAGCGAGCGAGCGAAGTAAATAAATAAATTAGAAATAAGAAAGATTAGGGGAAAAAAATACTGACTGGAATGACTGACTGCTCTTTAGTACCAATCAGTGCTACTATATCTGGATGTAAATTGCCGGGCTGATCGTCTTTTGAAGAATATACGGCACTGTAAGACAAAACCGGCTCCAGTACTTGATCCTGGGCGCTGATATACAATGTAAAAATCTAGTGAGTGATGTGGACAATTGTAATAAACAGGGCCCCCAATGGCAGTCCTAGCACCGAGTTGTTTATACGTTAATGACCTACTAGGAGGAATAATAGTCTAGAAAGGACAGAAATGTTCATAAATATGATTCATAAATACATTCATAAATTTTAACATGCTGTTCATTCAAAACGGGAATTTTCTCAAATATAAATTAACATTATAATATATTAGCATATTGTACATATATAGGCATAGGTTAGGTTAGGTGTTTAGGTTCTGTTGGCGATTATTTGTATTTGTAGTACGTGGGTGAAGCATTTACAGCGTTGTGGTTCGAACAAAATTCCTCAGTGAAGCACTTGTTCCGGAAGTGTTCGAACAAAATGAGTTGTGAGTCGTGTGTAAACCGTTTTTCATTCATAAACGGGGGGTTTGGCGGGTGCATGGAAACACTTTTGGGTCTTTGTTTGGAGGACGGGCTGACCCTCTAGTCGACTACGCCACACAGCCCGTCCTCCAAAGACCCAAAAGTGATTCCATGCACCCGCCAAACCCCAGCTGTTTATGAATGAAAAACGGTTTACACACGACTCACAACTGCTGACGTCCGAACACTTCCGGAACAAATGTTTCACTGACGAATTTTGTTCGAACCACAACACGTTAAATGCTTCACCCCACGTACTACAAATACAAATAATCGCCAACAGAACCTAAACACCTAACCTAACGTATGCCTATATATGTACAATATGCTAATATATTATAATGTTAATTTATATTTGAGAAAATTCCCGTTTTGAATGAACAGCATGTTAAAATTTAGGAATGCGTCTGTGGGGTCGACCGCTGAATGTAATGGACTTGAGTCGAGGACGGGTTGCGACATGGTAAAAGAATTGCAACCGCAGGTTCACGAAGCAGTTACGAAAGTACTTACGAACGTGTACATCTTTCATCAATCTTTGACGGCTTTGGTTACATTTATTAAACAGTTTACAAGCATGGAAACTTCCCAATCAACTGTTGTTATTGTTATAAACAGCCTCCTGGAGCTTCGGACCTCATTAACTGTTTAATACCTGTAAACAAAGCCGCCAAAGATCGAGAAAAGATTTACAGGTTCGTAAGTGCTTGCGTAACTGCTTCGTGAATCTGGCTCCGCGGAGTATTACTGCACCCAATAGTGCAGCAGTATATCTGCATTGATATATCCCGATAATGTGATTTCTCTGTGTAATGTCATTATCGTTCTTCCGTTATTAATGTGTGGTTGTAGTTGTTATATGTCACAGCCAAGATTTTGCGATTTTTGCTATCCCAGCCCCGATATTATAACTTACTGTTCTAGTTCCAACATTATGACTTTTACTGTTCCAGCCCAATATTGCGACTTTTACAGTTACAGCCACCTAGATGGATGTAGGAGTGAGTGTTGCCAGGACTCACCTGCATGTCCTCCTTGAGACTGGGATCGCGGTAGTTCAGGTCGGGCTGCTCAGCGAGGAACTGGTGTAAGTAGAATTGTTGACGCTCCTCGTTCCACTGCCACGCTGACCCACGGAACACGCTCAGCTGCAAGGTCACCACCCTCTTAGTGACCCTGTTCCCCAGGTATGTCTAAGGCGTGACTGTCGTCTGAGGTGTGACTGTTGTCTGAGGTGTGACTGTTGTCTGAGGTGTGACTGTTGTCTGAGGCGTGACTGTTGTCTGAGGTGTGACTGTTGTCTGAGGTGTGACTGTTGTCTGAGGTGTGACTAACGTCTGAGGTGTGACTAACGTCTCAGGTGTGCCTCATAGCGGGGATAAACTATTCTAAAACAGGTGTGATAATTGTTTTCTATAGAAAAGGTTAAGAAAAGCAATGCCACTATTGTGCATAAGAGAGATCACAGCAGTAGAATCAAATATAAAATAGATTTTATGATATTTTATAAACCTGAGGATGGGGGGGGGATGATAATTAGATATGGACTTTAGGATAGGAAGGAACGGAGAGGGTCAACTATTGCGGGTAAGGGATGCAAGCCACAGCTGGTTTAATAGGACTGATCGGGGTGCTATCTTATCTTGAGATGATTTCGGGGCTTTTTTTTAGTGTCCCCGCGGCCCGGTCCTCGACCAGGCCTCCACCCCCAGGAAGCAGCCCGTGACAGCTGACTAACACCCAGGTACCTATTTTACTGCTAGGTAACAGGGGCATAGGGTGAAAGAAACTCTGCACATTGTTTCTCGCCGGCGCCCGGGATCGAACCCGGGACCACAGGATCACAAGTCCAGCGTGCTGCCCGCTCGGCCGACCGGCTCCCTGCTGGCGGTGTTGTTTAGGACGATCTGTTGTCAGTAGTTACATTGTAATTTGTCTCTTCTTGTTTTGTTATCTTTGGCGTAGTTCAGTCACTAAAACACCGGGAGTTGGTTGCCTATAACCCTGCAGGTGTCTCGACGGGTTTAGGGGATTGGGAAGAGTGAGTTTTGGCTGCCCTTTAACCCACCTGTAAGGGGGAGAATGGGTGGAGACTGCCCATTTGATCAAGTTGCTATGGGGGTAGAGGGTAGAGGGTGTGAATGTGGCCCACTGACCCAGTTGTTAGGGGGGATGTGGGTACCGTTGTCGTCGACACCCTTGGAGTCGGCCCAGATGTAGTAGTTGGTGTAAGGATCCTCGCGAGCCACAGACTTGCGGAACCATTCGTGCTGGTCGCTGCTGTGGTTGGGTACAAAGTCCATGATCACCTTCACCCCTGTGTGGTGAGACGAAGTCTGGGTCAGGTCTAGTGTCCGAACAGGGTATTGCTTCTTGCTTACACAATCCATTTACATTACCAAGTTCTACATTATTAGAACTTGGTAATAATAAATTTAAGTAAATTAAAATAACTGAAAAATCATTTAAATCCTAAAATTACTTAAAAGAATTAAAAATAATCTATGAACGTCAAGGAAATAATAATATCAATATGTATGTTAGGAACTTAAATGTATATAATTTAAATACAAACCAGAAAAGTATAATAAAAACTAGTAAAAGAATTTAAGTTGAAAACAGGAAGATGTGGAGGAATGGATTCATCCCTCCATATCTTCATGAGATACAAGCACCGAGGAGATACCATACTTCTTGAGATACAACACTGACAAGAAAGGAAGAACGAAAGGATATACAGTATAAAATATATATATATATATATATATATATATATATATATATATATATATATATATATATATATATATATATATATATATATATATATATATATATATATTATTAAATATGACCGAAAAAGTAAGATTAATAATTCTAACACGAATTTTCTCAATCTTTCGTACATTTCTTTTCACTGTTGGAGGTAAATCAAAAATCAATTCTCCAAAATTCATTTTTATTTAATAAAAATGAATTTTGGAGAATTGATTTTTGATTTACCTCCAACAGTGAAAAGAAATGTACGAAAGATTGAGAAAATTCGTGTTAGAATTATTAATCTTACTTTTTCGGTCATATTTAATATATATATATAACTCACACCCCAGAAGTGACTCGAACCCATACTGCCAGGAGCACTCTGCTGGCGTACAGGATCCCTTAACCGCTCGACCAACACGACCGGACAAAAGAGGATGGTAGCCGAGGCTATTTCCATCCCCCCGCCGGCACTCGGTTGGTAATCTTGGGCATGGTATTTTATCAAATCACCTCATTCTTTGGGGAACAAAGTCCTGGCAGTATGGGTTCGAGTCACTTCTGGGGTGTGAGTTTTCAGTTGAGTTGCTGTTGTTGAGAATGACAAGGTTTCAAAAGTGTTTGTTGTGTTGTAGTGTAGATAGAGGAGCGGCGACTAAACAGAGGTGTGTAGGAGACCTGCCACACTGTAGGGCGGGATGTTGTGTTTAGGCGTCAGCTGATCCTTGGTGCTAGGGCGAGGCAATTGTTTTCTTAGTCAAATATCCCCAGTTTGCTAACTGTAGGTAGTAACTAAATGATTGTAACCTATCCACCGCTGCCAGTGGATGGGGGGCGGTGTGCAAGATAAACATATCAATTGTGACACTAGCTCTCCACATGTCAGTTACTTAATTTAGAAACACACTTATCTTAACTGTAATCTTGGGATATTTGGCCAAGATTTCTGGGAGCAGATAAGTTTGAATAAAATATTCACACATCTCTTGAACATTTGTTATAGAATTGTCTCTGAATTCACGTATCTTTTCGCACTCCATCACATAGTGACGGAGGGTGTGGGAATAATTTTGTTGACAATTTACATTTAGTTAGGACAACATCAGCTCCGAATGCATGATAAGAGCGGATAAGTTAGCCAAAGAATCTACCTTTAAAGGATAAGTTGAGTATAACCTTGGATTACCAATAAGCAGTATGAGAGCAATAGTACACTAAGAACTTCAATAAAATCTTGTAGCTCTGAGGCAAAGTGAAATCGACACGAGCACCAACGATCCAGTCCGTCCTCCTAAGGTTTACCAACGTTATCTGTTGTTGTTTTAGATTCAGCTACTCTGAACAAAATTTCCATGTAGGCTACAGTGAGCCGGTAAATGAGTTTGGTTATTCACGATAACCTTGTTACTTGATATTTGGGTCAAAGTTTTAAATGAAGGTAGGCTCATTCTTTTTTACCTGTTTTTAGTCTTTTGTTTTAATATTATCTTGGTGGCGGATATAGATGCACAATGTTAACTCGTGTGTCCCATTTTCAACTGCTTTTTTAACCACTGAAGTCGCTGTGGATACCCCAAAGTCAAGAAAACACTCAACTTAAAGTGTCCTCTCCTCACCTACCAGAGGATCCAAAACGGAAAACGGGATAATACGTCACTTTCGCAAGCCCCTTCCATTTTCTTGTACGTTGTTGTTGTTGTTAAAGATTCGCTACCTGAAACAAGAAGTTCCAAGTAGCACGGGCTATGGTGAGCCCATGTTCTTGTACGACAATTTTGGCCTTATGTAACGCATACGATCGAAATGCCACGTTCGTAGTAGGAGAGATTGGTGACCAGCTGACGCCATAAACACAACATTTCGTCCTTCAGTGCGGCAAGTCTCCCTCCAACACACTTCTCTTTTTAGTAGCCACTCCTCTATCTACAGCAAAACACAACAAACACTTCAAACCTTATCATTGTCAACACTGACGCGCCACGGTAATGCGTCTCCCAACATTTCTACGGGTGCAGTCATCGGGAGGATAAACCCTTCATGCAAACTGCAAGTGCTATAAAAAAGAAGACGAAGAGTATTGCAGAGGGAATTAAATTTTTATCGAATAGACTGTTGGACTTGAAGAACCTTGTTGGAATAGACAGATAATGCGAGTGTTATGATTTAAATTCACAATGGAGTTTATGCAAGATTAATAGGGAAAGTTCCATCACTCATTTTAATAAGATGTGTATACCACTTCATACAATTAGCAGTTTCTCATAGATCTTCTGAATGTCTATCTAGAAATTTAGAGTTTCTCAATGCAGAAACCCATAAATGGTTCTCTCACTCCTCTAGTAGATGGCACAAGTCCACTAAGAATTACTGTTAGACAAAGCGGCTGACTACTTAACCAGATGTGGGTCGAATAATTGAATAATGGCCAGAACTGAAGGTTCATTTTAAGAAAACAAGAGAAAACGAAGTGCTACACAATTGAAATTCATTTTGACATGTATTTCGAAGAAAACAATTATTTTATTTCTGCTTGTTATGCAACCCATATATACCTAGTGAAATACAAATTTAGCAAATTATTTGAGTCCGAAAACACTGATAAAGTAAAGTTCCTTGTTGATCTCCTGCGTGTTAGTTCAATTGGAAAGGTTAGGCTTCCTACCTACAATGTTGACTTGCTCACATGCAATATTTATGAATATTTGAATCCAAAGCCATATCTGAACTTTGAAATAAAAATGTAAGAATTGAGAATTAATACTCTTAGTACAACAAATGACGAATACATTTTGTGACATCGATGTCAAAGTTTTGTCTGATGTTTGTTTCAACAGCAGAAGAGGCTGCCTGATAATATAATAGTTTGGTAAAACATCTCTCTTCTCAGCAAACTATATGTTGCAGCCAAGCCGAGCTCTTCAATATTGTTGTGAAATCATCAAGTGCTAAGGTTCTTCACGAGAAACAATAGTTGAATACCAATTAGCAATAATATATTTAGTTGATTGGAATAGTAAAACAGATACAGACTCCTGGTGAAAAGTTCTTAAATATGCTCCCAGTTCAAAGAACCTCACTAATAATACATTATCAAACAAAAGGTGTACTATTACAGTGCTATACAATGATCAAATTAGTGAACAGACAGACCAGGTGGCGCCATTAGTACAGAAAAATGCGTGCCTGAGCGTATAAACCCCCAGCAGAAAATGCGTAACCAAAATATTAGTTGCATTAAATATCACTAATAAGCAGGGGCCAGATTCACGAAAGCACTTACGCAAGCACTTACGAACGTGTACATCTTTCCTCAATCTTTGACGGCTTTGGTTACATTTATTAAACAGTTTACAAGCATGAAAACTTCCCATTCGACTGTTGTCATTGTTATAAACAGCCTCCTGGTGCTTCGAAGCTCATTAACTGTTTAATAATTGGAAACAAAGCCGTTAAAGATTGAGAAAAGATGTACAGGTTCGTAAGTGCTTTCGTGAATCTGGTCCCAGAGCATTCAGTGTATGACCTCTGACCTCTCTGATGGAAGGCAGCGAGGAGGTCATCAAAGTCAGCCATGGTGCCAAAGATGGGGTCGATGTCGGTGAAGTTTGCGATGTCGTAGCCGAAGTCCTTCATAGGAGACGTGTATACAGGACTGAGCCACACAGCGCCTACACCTAGCGATGTCAGGTAGTCCGCCTTGGATGTGATGCCTGCAAGAGGGATGGAGAGTAAATAGGGAAAAGTGTGGTAGGGTAAGGGAAGGAGTGAGTTACGGTGACGTAAGGCAAGGGCAGGTGAGGTTGGGTAAGAGAAGGTGAGATAGGGTAAGAGAAGGTGACGGAGGGTAAAGGAAGGTGAGGTAGGGTAAGGGAAGGAGGGAGTGCTGTCCTATACCAACCTAGGTGGCAGACGGATGTGCCCTGGAGTGCTCTTGACAGTTGTGAACGTGTGATCACCTGCTAAGGGAACCGACAAAATTCGTCAGTGAAGCACTTGTTGATACAATGGGTTAAGGGAGTAAGTGATTAGTATATCCTTGCAAAGGCAACACGCATAGCGTTTCGGGCAAGTCCTTAAGTTAACAAATAAGCGCAATGATAGGTACATTGTAACAAATTGAATCCATGTGATAACAAACATAAATATAAATAGCTAAAATAAAGCTATAAGGATAATGTTTTGAAGTTGCATTTATACATCGTAAATACTGCGAGAGTCGGTAACTTATGGTGGGATTCAATGATGATTAAAGTTGATATTTCATGATACATAACAAATGAACTCTACAAAAAAAGTCACTAAGTGCTTCTAACGTTTCGACTACCACTCACAAGATGGGCATGAGGAACATAATAAATGAAATATAATTTTAGACTACACAGCCGCATATTTTCCCGTGCGTATTCCTTGATTTACTAGAAGCGATATATGGATGCAGTTCAAGACATTTCACTGATCATTAGTAATAACATTTATTATCTGAGGGTGCATAATAAATGAACTAGTACTGTGGACGAGGCAATATATCGACTTCCAGCAACCTTCACTCGTCCGGAAGTCAACCCACCAGCACAAACTATGCTACATTACCTCGTAAGTCTCCTTTGCCATTGTTGGTCTTATCGAAGAATGAACGGGGATAAATCTGATACATGACTACCTCCTGCCACCAAGGACGTTTCTTTTTCTTGGAGGCTGGTGAGAGAGAAGCGTGGGGGTGATGGGGTGGCAGCGAGCGCTTGTGAGGGGACGCCATGACGGCACGAGGGTGACTGGTGGCAGGGCCTCCAGGGCCACACTACCACCGCCTGGCCTCCATCCAAGTCTCGCTCTCCCAGCAACCGCAGTTGCCACTTTATGCTACAAGTAGCGAATTGGGCTACTTTTGTTAGCTTGGCGCTACTAAGGTTTGAATTTCGTTACTTGCTACTTTTTTGTGGGGGTAGCTACTTTTAGAATAAATTGCTGTAATTTGGGTGGCTAATGAGAAGAAATTCAATGATTTATTATTTTTGCATTTACATGTGTAATGTGTGTAAAACACATACAAATTAACACGTGATGAAATTTAGTTCTAATACATGTAGATATTGCAACCCATCCTCCTCTTTAGATAGTACTTTGTGTAACTATGTGCACCATGGTACAAACATTGACGTACTAAGCAATTAGTAGAACTTAGTACCATTCACTTTATGGTCCGAAAATAATTAGGCAAAAAGAAACTTAAATATTCCTAGGCCTAGTATAGCACACACATGTGCTATATTAGGCCTCAGATAGCGTGTATTAGCCCTAGGAAGGTTAGGTTCGGTTAGTTTGTCTTTGCAACATAAGTAGTTTAGTTCAATTATTATGCACCCCATACCCATCTTCTGGGCGGTTTTCCGGTTTGTCCAAATTCAATATTACCGATTTCTACTTTCTAATTGCGTTGTACGTCGGTATATGTACTATGGTCCTCGTCCTTTCTATAAGTACTACCAAAACAGGAGGATGGGCTGGATATTTACAGACTGATAAATGATAGGAAAGATCCCTTAAAGCTAATACCTTTGTAATCAACACATTTAGGTACATATGCATTTGTGCACTGGCAATGCCTAAATATGCACAGTATGTTAATATATATAACGATATTAATTTATTTTTGATAATTTTTTTTTACTTGAACAACATGTTCAAACTGAAGAATGCGTCTTTGGGGTCGACCGTTGGATGGAATGAACATATAGGACGGGTTGCGTTAAACAAACAAACAAAAAAAAGAGAGAGAGAGAGAGAGAGAGAGGGGGGAAGAGGGAATATTTGTTATAGAAGTTAGTTACTCATATAACCTTACCAGCAATGTCTCCTGTACCGTCAGGGACGGCATCGTAGAGGGAGCGAGGGTAGACCTGATACACCACCACAGTTTTCCAGAAGGGCTCGTCCTCCACCTCCTCTGTCTCTCTCTTCCCGTACCTGCAACACTTTCTTACTAAACTCTCAATTGACATCACACACAAACCTCACGAAAAATACTGATATTGTTAAATTATAATATTTGTTCCTATATTTAATTTGAAACTAAAATTGTTATATTATAATTTCAGCAAATTGATTTTTGTATATATTCGCTGCCTATGGAATATATATACCAAGATGTAAACTTTGTCAGCACACATATTCAAGTACCTTACGTCTCTATGTAACTGAATGAAAAAAAAAGTCAGAATTCGGAGATAATTTTATTACATCTGTTCAAGAAATGTGTAGGTATTTTTTATTTATTTATTTATAATCTGTGGTGATTTCATTCAAAATAATGTAATAACAGAAATCTTGGCCAAATATCTAAAGTTGGCTTACTGCATGTGGTGCATGCACATTACTGTAAACTTTTCACCACTGCCCTTTGCATGGGTGGGATGCAGGATTAGTAGAATTAGTAATTAATTAGAAAATAAATTATAATTTATAATATGTATCTATAATACTCTCCAGCGTCACCTATCATCTTGTAATACAAGATACCTGCGGTGTTAGTGATAACTTGTATTACACCTACAGTGTTAGTGATAACTTGTATTACCCCCGCGGTGTTAGTGATAACTTGTATTACACCTAGTGTTAGTGATAACTTGTATTACCCCCGCGGTGTTAGTGATAACTTGTATTACCCCTAGTGTTAGTGATAACTTGTATTACACCTACAGTGTTAGTGATAACTTGTATTACACCTACAGTGTTAGTGATAACTTGTATTACACCTACAGTGTTAGTGATAACTTGTATTACACCTACAGTGTTAGTGATAACTTGTATTACACCTACAGTGTTAGTGATAACTTGTATTACACCCGCGGTGTTAGTGATAACTTGTATTACACCTGTGGTATATCCATCTTCTTCCTTGTTTGTCCATTAATTATGAGGTCTACGTCCCAACTCATCCTCTCCCCCCCCTACTTATACAAGATGAGTGGCGCTGCCCATTATAATAAACTCGCCCCTCGGGGCAAAATTTAAAAAAATTAAATTTAAAGGCTAAGCACAAGAGTTGCGTTTTTTTACGGAGTGGCAAATCGAGAGAAAGTGCTGTTCAGATATTATGTTGCCTTCCTCTAAGGGGTGTGTGTTACGATCGATAGGGGGGAAAAGGCGGATTCATCTGTCTTTTGTAGGAACATAATTAGAAGCATTAATGACTTAAACGAAGCTCCTTGGAGAGGGTACGAGGCATGCATGATACAACGGCCAGAGATTGCGCCATGTTAGGTACTCGCTTGAACGTCACTGACCCTTTTGAGTATAATGTAAATTTTGATTGTTGCCGTCAGAGGCCGCTGGCTCATTGTGCACGCCATATTCATTGTTGTTGTTGTTCTAGATTCAACTATTAGGAACAAAAGTTCCAAGTAGCACGGGCTATGGCGAGCCCGTAGTGGACTTTTTTTTTCCGTACTCATCCTGTGAGTGGTAGTTTATTGTGCATCCCATACTCATCCTGTAAGTGGCAGTTTATTGTGCATACATATATACATATATATATATATATATATATATATATATATATATATATATATATATATATATATATATATATCGTATATATATATATATATATATACGTCGTACCTAGTAGCCAGAACGCACTTCTCGGCCTACTATGCAAGGCCCGATTTGCCTAATAAGCCAAGTTTTCCTGAATTAATATATTTTCTCTAATTTTTTTCTTATGAAATGATAAAGCTACCCATTTCATTATGTATGAGGTCAATTTTTTTTATTGGAGTTAAAATTAACATAGATATATGACCGAACCTAACCAACCCTACCTAACCTAACCTAACCTATCTTTATAGGTTAGGTTAGGTTAGGTTAGGTTAGGTAGCCGAAAAAGTTAGGTTAGGTTAGGTTAGGTAGTCGAAAAACAATTAATTCATGAAAACTTGGCTTATTAGGCAAATCGGGCCTTGCATAGTAGGCTGAGAAGTGCGTTCTGGCTACTAGGTACGACATATATATATATACAGTGTGCAAGGATTTCAGATATGTTATCATTTGTAATATGATGATTTGTCATCTCATGGAGAGAGCCTTAACTCATGTCTAAATGGCTCAATCTATTCACAGTCCAAGATGTAACGCTGTAGTGTGTGTCCCGGTCTGTGTCCACACACTATACACTTTAGTTCGTCCGGATCCTCAAGCTGCCAGAGATACCTGCAGCCAAGTCGTATTGGAGCTGTGACAAGCTCTGTTACTGACTATTGTAGAGTTTAGTTGCTGTTTTGGTTGGGGGGGGGGCTCGTTTATGGGTATATGGCAAGCCTATCAGACGTGGCTTTGATTTCTTCCAGAAGGTTATGGGACGAAATGGTGTTGTGAGAGGTGCTGTCTATAACAGTTTTATACACACACACACACACACATACATAAAGTAGATAAATAAATATTTTCTAAAATATATATAATTTCTCTCATATATATTTCCCGCCTCCAATAATTATTAAATGTAGTGAACATCGACACATGGGGCTTCGGTGTTCTTTAATTTATGTACAGTGTTCTTGACTAATACACTGATGGTCATAGCCTTATAATGGTTCGTGAGACTCCCCACTCTGGAGCTGGGACATCCTTGAGACACCCTTCTGGGCCAGCCATTAAAATATGATAATTGTCGTCGATTGACGCAGAGGCGAGGCTGGTGATCCTTCTTTCTCTGGTTGTGTCTGGTTTATCGTTATCGTCCCAGCTGTTGCCTCATAGTTTGTAATATCCTTTCCATAAGGTAAAGTGAGATAAAAAGTGCAAGGTAAAGTGTACTACAACCCACGACTCCATGCCACCCACCTGATCTAACATATAGAAATCGTGGATATTTATGAGCCGCTACTTTTCATAGTACCCTATTATTTTGTACGTTGGGGGACCTTGGCGTACACAATGAGGTCCATTAATTGAAAGAACGAGTTGTTCCGAGACTGTAACCACTGGATGGTACTGGGATTATCACCGCTACACACTCAACCTTCCCGCCTCAAAGGCATAACGAATAAAGATGAGGAAGATTGAAACAGAAGATGATAGTAGGAGGCTACAAGATGACCTAGACAGACTGAGTGAATGGTCCAACAAATGGCTGTTGAAGTTCAACCCGAGTAAATGCAAAGTAATGAAACTAGGCAGTGGAAACAGGAGGTAAGACACAGGATACAGAATAGGAGATGAAATACTTAATGAAACGGACAGAGAGAAAGGTCTAGGAGTGGATATCACACCAAACCTGTCTCCTGAAGCCCACATAAAAAGAATAACGTCTGCGGCATATGCAAGGCTGGCTAACATCAGAACAGCGTTTAGGAACCTGTGTAAGGAATCATTCAGAATCTTGTACACCATATATGTAAGACCAATCCTGGAGTATGCAGCCCTAGCATGGAGCCCGTACCTTGTCAAGCACAAGACGAAGCTGGAAAAAGTTCAGAGGTATGCCACTAGACTAGTCCCAGAACTAAGAGGCATGAGTTACGAGGAAAGGCTGCGGGAAATGCACCTTACGACACTGGAAGACAGAAGAGTGAGGGGAGACATGATCACAACCTACAAAATCCTCAGGGAAATCGACCGGGTAAACAAGGATAAACTATTCAACACTGGTGGTACGCGAACAAGGGGACACAGGTGGAAACTTGAGTACCCATATGAGCCACAGAGACGTTAGAAGGAACTTTTTCAGTGTCAGAGTAAGAACATAAGAACAAAGGCAACTGCAGAAGGCCTGTTGGCCCATACGATGCAGCTCCTATTTATAACCACCCAATCCCACTCATATACATGCCCAACCCATGCCTGAAACAATCGAGGGACCCCACCTCCACAATGTTACGCGGCAACTGGTTCCACAAACCAACAACCCCGTTACTGAACCAGTACCTACCCAAGTCCTTCCCAAATCCAAACTCATCCAACTTATACCCACTGTTTCGTGTTCTGTCCTGTGTTGATACTCCCAACACCCTATTAATATCCCGGATTAATAGTTAACGGAGTAGTTAACGGATGGGATGCATTAGGCAGTGATGTGGTGGAGGCTGACTCCATACACAGTTTCAAATGTAGATATGATAGAGCCCAATAGGCTCAGGAATCTGTACACCAATTGTTTGACAGTTGAGAGGCGGGACCAAAGAGCCAAAGCTTAACCCCCGCAAGCACAAATAGGTGAGTACAAATAGGGGAGTACACACAGGAAGCAGCCCGTAGCAGCTGTCTAACTCCCAGGTACCTATTTACTGCTAGGTAACAGGTGCATCAGGGTGAAGGAAACTCTGCCCATTTGTTTTTCCGCTGGCTGCCGGAATCGAACCCCGGTCCCTAGGTCCACGAGTCTTGAGCGCTGTCTACTCAGCCAGCTAGTGTGTGTGTGTGTGTGTGTGTGTGTGTGTGTTTAATATAATACATATATATGCTATAGCATATATATATATATATGTATTATAATAGGCCTAGGAATATAAGTTTGGTTATTAGTTTTATTTTTCAAATTCTATCATGTCAATATTTGTACGATCGTCCACATAGTTACAAAAAGTACTATCTTATCGGGAATGACGGGTTGCCTTATTCAGTATGAACTGAATGACTGAAACATTAGCTTTACCGGAATTGATATTAGAAGCGTTATTCGTAATGACTTATTCAATTCGTTACAGTACTGATTGGATCGAACAAGTGTTCATAAGTGTAAAGATTACTAGCGCACTAATTAAACCGTGAAGTTATATAACTTTGCAGTTCTGCACCAACAAACAACTCATGTAACAGATCTGTTATCAACAGGATTTAATATTCTGTCAACAAATCATTCCTCTTTGACAGTAATTCTTTAGTAATTCCATGTATCCAGGTAATGGTATTCCTATTTTCTCTCCTGACTAATTATTTTATTATATCACGTACAGAGGAACATAGGCTTTACCAGCATAGATACGAGGTTAGAGGAAGTCAGGTTCTCTCACCTAAGACCGCCGCTGTCGTCTCTGTTGAGAGGTCACCTTCACTACCTGACTTTAACCAGATCATTGGCTGTAACAAGCAGGATCCCTCATCAGTTATGAAGGTGATCTCTAGTTCAAGACGATAATATAAACACATGCAGTTCCTATTAGTGACAGCTCACCTCCTACATTAACGGTAATGACTGAGATAGGAAGAGAATACTAAAAATCAGATTAAATATACGTATATATATATTCCAAGATATATAGAGTGAGGAGAGGTTACTTGGCAGTGAAGCAGACTATGATGGTAGCGATGACCCCGACCATCAGCAAAGCCAGGAGGAACGGGTAAAGTAGCCTCTTCTCCATGCTGCCCTATGCGCCTGGAGTCTCCTCTACTCGGTGTCTCCTCCAACCAGCTCCTTTGCACGGATGAGTGACACGATGCTTGGAACTGCAACGTAGAGAAATAAACCAGTAACATATATAGAGACGCCGGTTTGCCTGCGTGATCACATTTCATATTATGTCTTTCCACTGGTGCTTGGGATATATTTTACCTGGGTGTCGCAGGAGGGAACTGATGTATAATCATTATCAACATTAACATACCACAACAACCTCCCAATAAAACACAACCCAAAGTGACTAGGTCACTTAATCCAGCTCAATACAAATCATCAGGACATATAGGGTGAACTTCTAAGAGATATAGTGGCCCTCAGGTAAATTCAAGTAAATTAAAACCTCTCTACGCTTTCTTTTCGTTCCTTACTTTCTTTCCTCTATGGTCAAAATTACAACTGTAAATCCAGGAGTTTGATTATTTTTGTGTGTGTGTTTTTGTTTTGCATGGATATTCTCAACTTCGAGCGCATAATGTATTTTTTAATCATTCACACATTCTAGGTATTTAATTTGTCGACCACTTCCTGTAATTCACTATTTACATATATTTCACATACATAATATCCTTGTCTGTCCATCACTATAACTTCCACTCACATTCACTTTTCAGTTTACATACATCTCTATCACTGCTGAAGTACCCGTCATCGTCATACAAAAGCCTAGTCTAACAACCAAGCTACATCACACAATATGACACCAATGACACATTGCAATACTAACTCTATCTATAAATCCAACATTATGTTTGCAAATCATCTATGTATGTATTTTTCCCTGAATAAAAAAATAGAATTTGAATTTGAATGTTTATTACATTCGCTGATTGATTTTGTTATTTTTAAACCATTCAATTTTCTTTTAACAATTTTTAAGACACTGTTTTTAATGTCATGACATGTGAGGACGTCTGATAATGATGTTATCTGACGAAGATTAGATCATAAGACTTACAGGCTGGGAGGACGTATCTCAACGCTTGTATGAGGCTTTATGCAACAAGTTGGGCAGCCCGTTCTCATCAACAAAGACCAAAATGGTCGTTAATCAACCGGCCAAACCCCCTAATTATGACTCCCCCCCCAAAAAAAAAAAATTTACACAACCCGTCCTCAGACCAAGGCCATTCCATCCAGCGGTCGACCCCAAACACGCATTCATCAATTTTAACATGCTGGTCATTCAAAATAGGAATTTTCTGAAAATAAATTTTGAATTAAATATTTACACATTACTTGAACATTTGTTATCGAGCGGTCTCTAAACTTACGTATCTTTCCGCACTCCATCACATAGTGACGGAGGGTGTGCGAATAATTTTGTCGACACAGTTTAAATTTGGTCAGGTCTACATCAGCAGGTAATACAAATTCTCAAAGATACTTATAGCCAAGTCCATGCCGAGCAGTAGTAACATCTATGTGCATATGTAAGCTACTTAACTTAGGGACTGTACTTGTGGTCTTTCTCGACACAATGTTGATAAAATACTAATCGTGTAACTAGCAGATAAAACTGAAACTTGCTAATCTAAATGAATTTTGGGGTTCACTTCCTGAGCCCATTATGTGCCTCTGTAACCTTTTCCACTGCCGCCCACAGAACGGTATGGGGTGCATAATAAATGACCTATTCTAACTCTTGTATAGTGTGTCTTTTTGACAGCTATTTGGCATCACCCTTCATTTGTGAGATACAGTGGAGATAATGGTGGGCGTCTTGCTAGGCTGTCAGAGCCACAGTTCTCCTGGCTTGGTGCCGTCTGGGATAATTATTTACTTACACAGGATGTCAACATGTGATTGACACCAGAAATGCAGCCTTCAGGGATGACGCTCATCTTGCAAACCAATACAATTAATTAAATCCACAAAAACAGACACAGTTCGCTTACAAGTTGGCTAGAGAATCTTATGTGTGTCTCAGGTGACTTAAGGCCTCACCTCTAGACTGACGTAGATGGGTAATGTGCACACGAACGCTGAGCACTGTGCACCTGTGAGCCCGGGTCTGGGGTGCTACTATCTGACAGAGGCAAAGGTGAGGCAGCAGGGAATCTGGGTTATCTCCTGGTGACAACTAATAGATAGTGGCACTAATTACTCAAGCACGCGCTCATGAACGGCAGTAAAGAACTTTCGTAGATGACTTTTGAACCTCACGAAGGATAAGATCTCTCGCAGGGTAATTACGGTCTAAAACCTCTATCAAGGGGGGTCAACATGAGGGAGAGGGTCAACATGAGGGAGAGGGGGGTCAACATGAGGGAGAGGGGGTCAATATGAGAGGGGGGGTCAACAGGGGGGGGGGGGTCATTGATATGAGCAAGATTTAGGACCGAGGACAGGACGACCAGCGGGTGTTATCGGAGGCAACTTTAGGATCAACACAGGTTGTAATGGTCATTCACACCGGTTCAGTTATAGGCCAAGTTAACAAGTGACCTTCTGACATGCCTTTCTTGCATGCGTTTCATGCAACTGACCTTCTGATAAGCTTTCCTTTCCAGTGTACCTTGCTGGCGACCTCAGTTTATCTCAGCGAATTCCTCACAAGACTCAGCAAGCCACCACTCAGCTAACGGGTGTTTTCTTATTAACAACAATTTGGGAACACTGTAAGTTACATTGTTGACGATCTTACTTAAACTTCCCCCTTGAGAGGTTTCCTCTATGGCAAATTTGAGTACTCGATTTCCCCCAGTGTCCCCTGTGTTAAGTAAACTGTCTTTATCTACCGTATCAATTCCTGTGAGAGACTTGTATATGGTGATCATGTCTCCCCTAATTCTTCTGTCTTCCAGCAACGTTAGGTTTAGTTCCCCTAAGTCTCTCCACGTAGTTCACACCCCTCAGCTCGGGTACTAGTCTGGTACCATACCTCTCAACTTTCTCCAATTTTGACTAGTGCTTGACGAGATATGGACTCCATGCTGGGGCTGCATACTCCAGGACTGGTCTGTCATAAGTGGTATACAAGTTTCTGAATGATTCTTTACACAAGTTTCTAAAGGCCGTTCTTATGTTGTGTTGTTGTTTTAGATTCAGATATTCGGAAAATATCCATGTAGCACCGGCTGTAGTGAGCCCGTAACTTACCTGGCACTGGAGCGGGGCAAGTAGCACGTGCTATGGTGAGCCCATAGTGGACTTACCTGGCACAGGATGTTGTTAAAGATTCGCTACCTGGAACAAAAAGTTCCAAGTAACACGGGCTATGGTGAGCCTGTAGTGCCTGGGCACAGCACAGGAGCGGTTGATGACAGGGTAGCGAACGCCTCTTCGCCGAAATATCCCAACTTTAATTGACTTTAATACTTCATCACGGGTAATGTCTGTACAAGTGACATCACCACTGTTGCCTGCTGTAAACGTAAAGTTCCACCTCAGGTCTTTCCCAGAATCGAATGACTCTCTAATGACTCTCTCGTTATAGCGGGCAATGAACTAATTTCGGCAGCTTCTGGCTATGTATCTACAAGACCGTTTGCAATTCCTTGAGGGTCGGGATGCGCAACAAAATTACGCTCGTAGCGTAATTACGCTTACTTTATTTACGTCTTGCCATATTGACTCGTCCAGCCACTGACACGAAATGTAATGTTAATCTTAAATATGTCTTCAACTTCTGTTTTTTCTAAACGATTTTACCTTTACTTGTGTTTCAACATTTTTTCCCCACAGAGTGTTGAGCACAAGTTCAAGTATGTTTATTGAGACAAGAAAAAATACATCTCAAAGGGATAGAGTAGCTTAGGCTATCTGCCATCATCAGTGGATAGTTCATTTTCCTGAGACTCTTCCATGAGTATTACTCCATCCTCTCCCGCCCCCCTCCTCCTTCATCACACTCCATCTAGCGTTACAATTCCGCTTATTAGAAACCTTTCGTATGAGGAGAGATTGAGAACGCTTAAATTGCATTCTCAAGAAAGGTAAAGAGTTAGGGGCGACATGACTGAACTGTACCGTGGATGAATGGGCATAATAAGGGATATATAAATAAGGTATTAAATATAACACATAATAGACCACAAAACAATGGATATTAATTATATACACTTAATTCTAGGAAAGACCTGGGTAAATACTGGTTAGGAATCCAGTCCTAGATAAGTGAACCCCACCCCCATCCCGACAGACATATCACTCTATGAAAGTGTTCCCAGTTATCAGTGAATAATATTGCACTGAGTTTGCAATATTTGGTGTAGTAGGCATTTAATTGTAATTGCCCTGGCAGTGTTGTAATACAGTGCAGGCATTAGAGGTTATAACATCAGCAACGACAGACTTCTTCAATGTCATCTTCAGCTGTTTATTTTTGACAACTTTCCACTCGCTGACCTCCCTGAGGGGTCAAGCTCATGCTACCCTCCGGCGGGGTCAAGCTCATGGTGCCCTCCGGCGCCACTTGTTGGCTGGAGAAATTGGCCTTCTGTCTTTAACAGAACAACCTCTGTCAGCTAATCTACCCTTAGCTGCCCTGGGTAAGCTAACTACCCTACCCAGGGGTAAGGGCAGCGTTAGCTGCTTTTACCCTGGGGAAAGCCTGGGTAAATACTGGTTTGGAAGCAGCGTTGTTGAATTATGGAACCATGCATAGTTCTCTCGCGCGGCACATTCCCGCGTCTCCAGGGGGAAAGTCGGGCGAGGCTACCGCCAAGCTCCACGCTTCTGGCCTCCAACTGTGGACAGCTACATAGACAGACATTTTATTATATTAGATACATATTAATATATATTACTAGGTAACATAATAGACATAGGATCGCAGGATTGTTTCAAGTGTAGGCTAGACATGTATATGAAGGAGTTTGTGTGGGGGTATAAACAGGGGCTGCTGCCCTCACATGAGCCAACAGGCATTCTGCTGCTTCGTTTGTTCGTATGTTTATGTAAGAGAAAGATCAAAAGCCAGAGGAGTGAGGAAGCACTTGTTCACTCCACCAGCCTCGAGATAACAATACGTTGACCAGACCACACACTAGACAGTGAAGGGACGACGACGTTTCGACTTGAGTCCAGGATGGACCGAAACGTCGTCGTCCCTTCACTGTCTAGTGTGTGGTCTGGTCAACATACTTCATCCACGTTATTGTGACTCATCGCCCGACAACAACACCTGTGAACTCTTCTCGCTGTGGCGCTTCGGACGTGGTGGGGGGTGTGAGTCCTCATTAGGGCGGGGGAAAGCATGTAGTACATATTGATATTCCATAAATCCACGTTGAGGTCAAGCTAGGTTGCGGCCAGACACCCATAGTCCATTTATGGGAATTCGGGGGTATAAGGGGGGGGGGGGATGGGATATGGGGGAGGGGGGAGTGTGAGGGGGGTTGATGGGATAGATTGGGGGGAGAGGCGGAGACTGCGGAGTGCGGACTGGTTCCAGCAGCGACCATTCCCGACAGTTCATCGCAGTAGCTCTTGTGACTAACACCTCCCCCATTCTCACCCTTCTCCTGCCCAAGGTCTCCACAAAGCTGGAAGGTTCGTGTCTCTGTAGAGTAGAGTATGGTGGGGGCCCGCCAGAGCTGCCCTCGAGTGGCCAGGGAGGGTGTAGTCTTGGACACCAGGACCGGTGACCAGGGCGGGTGTAGTCCTGGACACCAGGACCGGTGACCAGGGTGGGTGTAGTCTTGGACACCAGGACCGGTGACCAGGGTGGGTGTAGTCTTGGACACCAGGACCGGTGACCAGGGTGGGTGTAGTCTTGGACACCAGGACCGGTGACCAGGGAGGGTGTAGTCCTGGACACCAGGACCGGTGACCAGGGTGGGTGTAGTCTTGGACACCAGGACCGGTGACCAGGGTGGGTGTAGTCTTGGACACCAGGACCGGTGACCAGGGTGGGTGTAGTCTTGGACACCAGGACCGGTGACCAGGGCGGGTGTAGTCTTGGACACCAGGACCGGTGACCAGGGAGGGTGTAGTCCTGGACACCAGGACCGGTGACCAGGGTGGGTGTAGTCTTGGACACCAGGACCGGTGACCAGGGTGGGTGTAGTCTTGGACACCAGGACCGGTGACCAGGGTGGGTGTAGTCTTGGACACCAGGACCGGTGACCAGGGCGGGTGTAGTCTTGGACACCAGGACCGGTGACCAGGGTGGGTGTAGTCTTGGACACCAGGACCGGTGACCAAGGTGGGTGTAGTCCTGGACACCAGGACCGGTGACCAGGGCGGGTGTAGTCTTGGACACCAGGACAGGTGACCAGGGCGGGTGTAGTCTTGGACACCAGGACCGATGACCAGGGCGGGTGTAGTCTTAAACACACACAATCGACTTGAGAATGGTCCAGGACGGACCGAAACGTCGTCGTCCCTTCAATTTAGCTGTCGACAGCAGGAGCTTCATTCACATCACATTCGTGTTTACCGCAGTTGTCCGCCCGTCTAGTGCCGAGCCACTGTTGATCTGTGTCCACCCAAACGCATACACGTGTGGATGCGTTTGGTTAGAAATAAAGGTCTAACCTAAGCTTGAAACAATCTTACGGACTAATACTCAGCTAATTCATGTCCGTGCCACCTCTTGGGTGGCCTAATCTGCATCAATCAATGAATCTTGAAACAATCAGGTAATCCGACCTCTATTATGTTACCCGGTAATTTGTTCCATATATCAACAATCCTATTACCAAGCCAGTATTTACCCAGGTATTTCCTGAATCTAAAATTTATATCCATTGTTTCGTGTTCTCTGCTATGTTGATATATTCAATAGCTTATTAACATGTGTATCACTTTAATTATGCCAGTTGATCCACTTGTACACTTTAGTCATGTCACCCGTAACTCTTCGCCTTTCTAGAGAAAGTAAGTTAAGGTTTTTCAAGCTTTCTTCATACGGAAGGTTTCTAATTTGCGGGAATGACTTTGTCATCCTGCGCCGAGCGCGTTCTAGTGAATTTACATCCATTCTATAGTGAGGCGACCAAAACTGAACTGCATAACCTGAATGGGGCATAACCAGAGCAAGATATAGCTGAAGAATAACAACATTACGAATATTTATGCATTGATGTTTTGGCTTTAAATTTTTACTAATCATAACTCCCAGATCCCTTTCGCAATGAGACTTAGCAATCCCAGCACCATCCAGCTCGTATCTTGTAACTATCATCATTACCTAGCCTCAAAACCTTACATTTGTCAGCATTAAGCTGCATCTGCCAATCTTTTGACCATTTCAAAATTATATTTAGATCGTCTTAAAGTGATAGTGAGTATATCGGCCTTCTGCTGTTTCCTTGATTCTTATGTTCTAATGAGTCGTTTTCCGTGTTTATTTTCCTCCTGATTTTCGTATCGTCGGCAAATTTGCAAATATTGCTGCTCAAATCTGAATCTAAATCCTTTATGTATATTATGAATAACAGAGGTCACAGGATAGAGCCTTGAGGCACTCCACTTACAAAATTTTCCTACTGTGTCTTAAGTCTATTGATACTAACTCTTTGTTTCCTTCGGTATAGCCATGCCTTAATTCAACTTAATATAGCACCCCCAATACCGTGAGTCTCCATCTTTTAATCAAATTTTCACATTAGAACATAAGAATAAAGATATAAAACTGCAGAAGGCCTATTTGGCTTATACGAGACAGCTCCTGTTTATATCCACCCACTCTCATACATATATATGTCTGACCTACGCTTGAAACAATCAAGGGATCCTTCTTCTATTATGTTATGCGGTAATTGGTTCCACAAATCAACAACCCTGTTACTGAACCAGTATTTACCCAGGTCTTTCCTAAATCTAAACTTATCCAATTTATACCCCATTGTTTCCTGTTCTGTCGTGTGTATCTATTCTGTCACGTGACACTGTATCATAAGTAAAGTTAAGGACAACAGCACAAACCTTTCCACTATCAACTACTGCTTAACGGCACTACGGGCTCACCATAGCCCGTGCTACTTGGAAATTTGTTCCAGGTAGCGAATCTTTAACAACAACAACATCAACTGCCTCAACTATGCTGGAATAGAGTGATAGGAAATTTGTCATATATTCATCCAGCCTCGTCCTCCCCGGTGGAGGCGGAGACAAATGGGCAAAATAGGTACCAGGGAGTTAGACAGCTGCTACGGACTGCTTCCTGGGGGGAGGGGGGGGGTGACAAAAAGGAGGCCTGGTCGAGGACCGGGCCGCGGAGACACTAAGCCTCGAAATCATCTCAAGATAAGGAAGAAGCCTTGAAGTATATTGAGGACTTCCTTTAGTTTTGTAAATCTTCATTTGAATTTAGAATGCGCTTTATTTCAGCATCATTTACAACTTTAGTAATTTACTTATAAGTTAAGGCCACGTATGGGCCAAGAGGCCTTCTGCACTTTCCGATATTTTTACGTAGCACAATGGTCTACGTCCTCAACTGACAATCGAGGGACCCGGGTTTAATCCCCGAAAAGAACAGAAACAGTTGAGCATGTTTCCCTTCACCTGATGTCTCTGTTCGCCTAGTAGTAAAATAGGTAGCCGGGAGTTAGGCAACTGTTGTGGGTGGCGTCGTGGGGGGAAGGGAGGGATTATTTATAAGTATAACGGTGGTATGCTGGTGACGTCACTGTCACCGGCCCGTTTATGGGCTTTTCTCTGATGATATCATGCCATCATCCCACCCGCTGTGTCCCCGCTATCACACCTTAATATTAAACTCACATTTATTAATATTAAACTATTGTAGCACAGTGTCGCAAGTCTCTCTTATATCATGTTATACACTTCATCACTACTGTGAACTGGGGTCACCCTGTGGGTGTGTGAACTGTGGTTCAGTCCCTGAGCCCATTATGTGCCTCTGTAACCCTTTCCACCACCGCCCACACGACGGGTATGGGGTGCATAATAAATGGACTAACTAATGGACACAGCCTCGCGCACCAACAACACAGCCTCGCGCACCAACAACACAGCCTCGCGCACCAGCAACACAGCCTCGCGCACCAACAACACAGCCTCGCGCACCAACAACACAGCCTCGCGCACCAACAACACAGCCTCGCGCACCAACAACACAGCCTCGCGCACCAACAACACAGCCTCGCACACCAACATCAGCGGACGCCACAAAAAGTTTGGGCGGGAAATTATTTTGCACAAATAATAATTTATTCTCTACAAGAACATTGGAAGAACTACAAGAACTCTTTACATAAGCAGTCGTAAAGTTGCGTGTTCAGTCCCCACGGAAGGATTAGAAAGAAGCGTTAGGGCATCATTTCACCTGATGCCTCTGTTCACCTCGTTACCCAGTAGTTGGATAACTGTTTAATTTTCTTAGTATTGCTAGTAGATAATGTTGACTGTGAGCGGCAGCACAAATAATTATAGAGCTGGTATTTTGACATTAAGAATTTCCCTAAAACTGCACAACTTTTGGCTCCTGGGAGCAAGAGAACTGTTGTGGCTTGACTCCTGCGATGTGTAGGTATGTTGGACTAGGCCTGGGTGAACCTTAAGAAGCCTAACAGGATTCCTGTCCCTGACGATGGGAAACCAGACACTGTATGGTTCATTGCTGACACCTCGAGGGTTCTGAGTCTAGGTAATGATTAATTACGAGGTATAGCAACTATAGACAATGTTGAGATTACCGTAGCTGAATGTGAAGAAGATCTGAGGCGTAATTGGTTGGGATCCTAAGCCACATGCTCCTATGTGTTATTATTTCAACCATTACCTACTCTGGTATCACATCAAGCTCTAATGTCTCACAATAATGACAAATACCACACACACACACACACACACACACACACACACACACACACACACACACACACACACACACACACACACACACACACACACACACACACACACACACACACACTACCAGGGGGGGGCCTAGTAGCCTGGTAGATAGCGCGCAGGACTCGCAATTCTGTGGCGCGTGTTCGATTCCCGCACCAGGCAGAAACAAATGCGCAAAGTTTCTTTCACCCTGAATGCCCCTGTTACCTAGCAGTAAATTGGTAACTGGGAGTTAGTCAGCTGTCACGGGCTGATTCCACGGGCTGCACTGTGAGGGGTGAGGCCTCAGATTGGCGAGGCGTCACCAGTGGAGTCCCACAGGGTTCAGTATTTGGACCTATATTGTTTCTTATATATGTAAGTGATCTTCAAGAGGGTATAGAATCGTCCTCTCATTGTTTGCTGATGATGCAAAAATTATGAGGATTCAGACAGTGGAAGATAGTATGAGGCTACAAGATGACCTAGATAGACTGAATGAATAGTCCACCAAAAACTTCTACTAAAGTTCAACTCGAGTAAATTTAAGGTAATGAAACTAGGTGCGGGAAACAGGAGGCCTGATACAGGATACAGAATGGGGTATGAAGTACTTAATGAAACGGACAGAGAGAAAGATCTAGGAGTTGATATCACACCAAACCTGTTTCCTGAAGCCCACATAAAAAGAATAACATCTGCGGCGTATGCGAGGCTGGCCAACTGCCAACCATCAGAACTGCCTTCAGGAACCTGTGTAAGGAATCCTTCAGACCCTTGTACACCACATATGTAAGACCAATCCTGGAGTATGCAGCCCCTGCATGGAGCCCGTACCTTGTCAAGCACACGAAGCTGGAAAACATTCAGAGGTATGCTACTAGACTAGTCCCAGAACTAAAAGGCATGGGTTACGAGGAAAGGCTGCGTGAAATGCACCTCACGACACTGGAAGACAGAATAGTAAGGGGAGACATGATCACTACCTACAAAATTCTCAGAGGAATTGAGCGGGTAGATAAGGATAAAATGTTTAACAAGAGTGGTACGCAAACAGAGACACAGGAGACTGAGTACCCAAATGAGCCACAGGGACGTTAGAAAGAACTTTTTCAGTGTCAGAGTAGTTAATAGGTGTAATGCATTAGGAAGTGATGTGGTGGAGGCTGACTCCATACACAGTTTCAAATGTAGATATGATAGAGCCCAATAGGCTCAGGAACCTGTACACCAGTTGATTGACCTTTGAGAGGCGGGACCAGTGAGCCAGAGATCAACCCCCGCAAGCACAACTAGGTGAGTACACACACACACACACACACACACACACACACACACACACACACACACACACACACACACACACACACACACACACACACACACACACACACACACACACACACACACACACACACACACCTACCCTCCCTCCCTTCATCCCCCCTCACCCCATGCACCCCCAGCCTCCCAATACCCTGGACTTCTTCCTGCCCCAAGCAGGCCCAGCAAGATCTAAGCCCTCCATCCTCCACCTCACCTCCACCCAAACCCCTGTTAACTACGCCACAAGAGGACGAGAACTCCATGAACTCCACGAACTCCACGAACTCCACGAACTCCATGAACTCCATGAACTCCACGAACTCCACGAACTCCATGAACTCCACGAACTCCATGAACTCCATGAACTCCACGAACTCCACGAACTCCACGAACTCCATGAACTCCACGAACTCCATGAACTCCACGAACTCCACGAACTCCATGAACTCCACGAACTCCACGAACTCCACGAACTCCACGAACTCCACGAACTCCACGAACTCCATGAACTCCATGAACTCCACGAACTCCATGAACTTCATGAACTCCTAAACATACAGCCACTAAACATCAGACTACAGCACCAAGTCATCAGGGTGTGGAACACCATCGAAATGTTAGAGGACCCAATGTTTGACATGTTTCTCCAAGATGAGACGCCCCGCTCCCACAGCTGGTGGCCCAAGATGAGGCGCCCCACTCCCACAGCTGGTGGCCCAAGACGAGACACCCCACTCCCACAGCTGGTGGCCCAAGATGAGACGCCCCACTCCCACAGCTGATGGCCCAAGATGAGACGCCCTGCTCCCACAGCTGGTGGCCCAAGATGAGACGCCCCACTCCCACAGCTGGTGGCCCAAGATGAGACGCCCCACTCCCACAGCTGGTGGCCCAAGATGAGACGCTCCACTCCCACAGCTGGTGGCCCAAGATGAGACGCCCCACTCCCACAGCTGGTGGCCCAAGATGAGACGCCCCACTCCCACAGCTGGTGGCCCAAGATGAGACGCCCCACTCCCACAGCTGGTGGCCCAAGATGAGACGCCCCACTCCCACAGCTGGTGGCCCAAGATGAGACGCCCCACTCCCACAGCTGGTGGCCCAAGATGAGACGCCCCACTCCCACAGCTGGTGGCCCAAGATGAGACGCCCCACTCCCACAGCTGGTGGCCCAAGATGAGACGCCCCACTCCCACAGCTGGTGGCCCAAGATGAGACGCCCCACTCCCACAGCTGGTGGCCCAAGATGAGACGAAATGTGTATCAGTAATCCCAATCAAATTGCCCTTTAACTTATCAATCAAAAATGGATCTAAATTATACAAATCACTACTAATGTTCAAATTACATGATTTTCTAATCTGTATAAGAGCAGGTTCAATAATGTTTATATTGAAAATACTTTTACAATTCGTTATTGAAGAAGCCCTTTCCCAATCAATTTGGTGAGAGCTTTCTGATAAATTCTGAAGAAGATGAATTATGAAATACGAAAGTACTTCAGGAAATTTCCTATCTTAATCCTTCCTCCATCGTCTGACATTGATATATATATATATATATATATATATATATATATATATATATATATATATATATATATATATATATATATATATATATATATATATATATATATATATATCAATGTCTCTCCTCTCTTATCTCTCTTCCCCTCTCCACCCATCTCTGTATACATTTTCTTCAGTCCTCCATGGACTTGATGGGAGATTTGTTAAGCATATAGTTCAGGGATTTATTGAACAATCAACCACACAAGGTGATTGTAGTGCTTTCAAAATGCTAAGTGGTCTGCTGTGGAGAGTAATTACCATATGACTCACAGACAGTCATGGGTTGTTCAGCAACTACCATATCTCGTGAGTACGGATTGGGTAGGAACTGTCACCTGAAATATTGAAGTTTCTTATCTTCTCAAACATTGGGTGTTTAGTGAGAGGTCAGAATATGTGTGTGATGATTTCACATATTTAACGTGTGAAATATGGACACGTGTTCAGGTCTGGTGGACAACACCCTGTACTCAGGGCGGAGATCTGCTTAAGAGAATGGGTTGGGCACTACTACATAATTAGTCCTATTATCTATTCTCTATCCATGGTTAGGCTAGGTTAAGGCTACTTTAGGGTTATATCTTGAGGTTATCTTGAAATGATTTCGGGGCTTAGCGTCCTCGCGGCCCGGTCCTCGTCCAGGCCTCCTTTTTGTTACACACCCCCAGGAAGCAGCCCGTAGCAGCTGTCTAACTCCCAGGTATCTATTTACTGCTAGGTAACAGGGGCATCAGGGTGAAAGAAACTCTGCTTATTTGTTTCCGCCTTCACCGGGGATCGAACCCGGAACCTCAGGACAACGAATCCGAAGCGCTGTCCACTCAGCTTATTAAGATTTTTTGGTTAAGGTTACTTTAGGTTAAGGTTTGGTTAGGTTAGGTTTCATTATGTTTGATTATGTTAATATGGTGTATTATTGACAATAACATGAAATATAAAATTCGAAAACTATATCAGTGTGCCTGAGAATTACATATAAAAAAAATTCTTCAAAGAATATGTTTTCAACATGCACTTGTTATATTTTAAACCAACGATTTAAAATACAATAACATTAAAACTTGAGAATAATCTCCGTTTACAACAAAGGTTTATTTGCCAGTTTGCATGTAGACTGTTACTGGAACCATAATATGTTTTATATCATCATAAATATCTAGATGATATTTATGATGATATGAAAACCATAACTATCCAGGTTATGGATAGTTATAAACCATAACTATCCAGGTTATGGTTTGAAAGGGGGGGGGGTTCTCATGGTAATGGATTTGCTATGAGGGCATGAGGGCAGTCTCATACTGCTTCTCACACAGTGGTGTGATGTAGCAATAAGAAAATAATTTAGAGACAATGAAGTAACTTGAACCTGCATTCTGGTGATTCCTAGACAACTGCCTCAATCCACTCAGCCGCAATACCTCAAAATGGTCTTCTCGCCGATATATCATGCTACTGTGAGTTGTTTATGATCTGAAGGACGGGTGTAAGGGTGTGGATACCATTACCCGCAGGCCAGAGTGTACGCGGGCCCATCATAAAATCCTGGTTGGCTACCAGCTCAGGCCTCAAGAATCTTCCAGTGAATCTAATAGACTTCCAGGTTGATACGTTTTTGTCCTGTCTGGGAATCACCAGAACGCCGGTTCGAGTCACCCATTGCCTCAAAATAATTCTCTCATATATTGCATGTGTTAAGGACTGCTGGACATATATTTCATATGAGGTACATGTAAATTTCTTTTTATCTGATTTTTATTCCTATTCAATATAATGGCATTGTATTGGTTTACAGAGAGCAATCACACTAACGTGATGTGTCAGTGAGAACATCCCAAGGTGTGCTTGGGAACACCCACCGCATAGATTCGAACCCTCATCACGGCTCCTACGGATTTTTCTCACTGTATTGGTTGATAATATTGAAACTTGAGCCACTTATAATTGTGAATAACTGTATTAACTTGTGACTGGATTTACAGGTGACTGTTGTAGAGACATGCCTCACAAGAAAGGTCAACAGGAAGTCACAACACACAAACCAACGGGTTTGCTGTTGTTGACATCGCTCAGCAAGCATCAGACATCATCAACAGCCTCATGTTAGTCGCATTTGTTTCTCTGCGTTCTTCAGTTTTATATTATTTTGTGTAAAATATTTTTAGACACTTCCGTTTCTATCGGAGTTTTTATTCTAGAAAATCTTAACAATATATTAAGGATTTAATTAAGGATTACGAGATGTTTAACGTAATTTGAGGATTTGTTTGTAATTTTTGGAATCAAATGTTTTTTCGATAGTTATAACAATAATTCAAATATTAAGCGTAATATAATATATATTGCCAGGGACAGTTAATGCACATTTGTTACAATGGATATGAACTGAATTATAGTTTAAAATATAATGATTATAATATATTATAATAATTATTTTCCAGATGACTTTTTTTTATTAAATTGTTTATTATATATAATCTTAATATGTATAAATTTTCTTTTCAAATATGTGAGTTTAAAGATGATTTTCTGGTGCCTATAAAATTTCCATTTAATTTTCAGATTTTCAAGAAGGGTGAGTATTTGGGATTTGAGAATGTTTCAGTTTGTGTCCATTACCTTATACTCTCATGTTATGTATGTTATCATATTGTTTAATGTGGATAAGTTATATATTTGTGTTGAACAAAAGGTGAATAATGAAGTACGGTTGTCACAACAACAATACCATGTGCCATCCAAACTTGTCTACTACTAGCTCCTATATCCACACTCTACCCTCACCCACACTCTACCCTCACCCACACTCTCCCCTCACCCACACTCTTCCCCAACGCCGTGTTTACATTCAACTTCTTATGTTCATTGAAAGCTTCAGCTTGAACTTCCCAGCGGCTTAGGTCTACATAGAAAACGGAACCATGAGCGCATTGCGTTTACGGGCTAACTATAGCGCTTGCTTCATGGACATTTCATTCTGAGTAACTAAATCTAAAACAACAACAACGCAGTAGGTTCACAACTGATCGGACCCGAGTCCCATTCAGAGGCAGGGTCACCTGACGCCTATGTAAATAGGCATCGTGGAGTCAATCAACTGTTGTGGGGTTCACCCTGGATTGCTGGCTTAAACCCACGGGGGACTTTAGTGATTCAAAGAGGCCGCCCGTCTCTAATAAGGGTAAACTAAACTATATGCAGTTTAATACAGTTTAGAGTCGTAAGACAAAGTCAAGCAGTATGGCCAAGTCACCGACCTCAAAAAGGTTACACTGGTGAAGGAAGATAACAAAAGTTAATTCAAAATAATAATTTAAAAACAAAAAAAGGCGTGTCCGGTGTATATTGTGCAATGACCTTTACCTTGTGTGTATATATTGGAGAGATAGGCAGTGTGGCAACACTTGCATCATCATGATGCACACATATGCTCATGGGACTATCACTGGGAAGAACGGTGTTAGCACTCTGCTACTTACACACTTCATGGCACACCTTTGTAAGCGCACATTAATGACGCTATGTCAAAAGACACCTCGAACACTGTTTATGTAGGACAGACGTAAAGAAATCTAACCTACAAACGTAGGTTAGATTAGCATTTTAAAAGCACTACAATCACCTTCTGTCAATAAATCACTGAATTATTTGCTTAATAGATCTATAACCCTGTCCATGGAGGACAGAAGAAAATGTATATATGCTGGTTAGCATTGTAAATCTGCGGCAACGTTTGTGGTAGAAAATAATAATTAATAATAATAATAATAATAATAATAATAATAATAATAATAATAATAATAATAATAAACTTCATGGCGTGAGTAGGAAGGCTGCAAACTATTATCCGTGTATAAAGTCTACTAAAGCGGTGTAAACAGCAGAATTCTCAGCAGTTCAGCAAGAAATCCGCTCTACTCTCGAATAAGACCCTTGACCTCTTGCTCAATGACTGCTTGTGAGGTCCCTTCATGACTGAGGTCACCAGCAAGGTGAACTGTCTCTCCCACAACACAGCCATGTGTCAGCGTGGATGGTGTCAGCAAAACCTTCCTTCCCACAAGTAACGCCCTACCCTCCCAAAACCACACTCCTTCCCACAAACAAACGCCTTCCCACAAGTAACGCCCTACCCTCCCAAAACCACACTCCTTCCCACAAACAAACGCCTTCCCACAAGCGCACCTTTACTTTGTCATCGCTACAGACACACGAGAGTAACACAAGGCAGTGTACACCACGACAGACTAATAAATATGTACACAACCTCTGTCAGATCAGCCTTGGACTATGCAGCGCTGGCATGAAACCCAAATCTTGAGAAGTATATGAAAGAAATTGAGAAAGGTGTTGGTGGCGCAGTGGTAACATATACTTACCCCGTGTCTCGTGAAAGCTGTGGTCCTGGGTTCGAGCCTTGGCTAGGGAGGTTTGACTATGTACCAATCCTTTATTGTACGCCTCTGTTCACACGGCAGTGATTGAGTACCTGATTGTTAAATGATTGGCAGGTATGAGGGCAAACAAGTGGGTAAGGATTATCATGGTCTAAGGGAAGAGAAAGCCCTCAGCCTGCTAACTGGAGTCAGCAGTCGTCTGTTCCTGTATCTCCTGTAAAAAAAAAAACAGTTATAGAAATTTGCTTTTAATTCCTGATAAGGATAATAGCCAAGATGGGCGAAGAGAGAATACTCCACACGAAGGGGAAGCCTAACACGAGGACACAGGTGGGTGTAGGTCATACAGGTGGGTGTAGGGAGATGTACGGAGCCACAGACACGCAGGTGGAGGGACAAACACAAAGAATACTCTGGATGGAGAATATAGTGAAAGCCGCCTCCACTGACAGAACATTTAAGATCAGATATGACTGAGCGTTAGACAAACCCACCTGTTGATGCTCAGGTATCACATGCCTGATACCTGATGCGATATCTGATTGCTAAATAGAGGCGCTCAAGACTTATATGACCTGGATTACTGGTAAACTCGTTCCTCCTCCTCCACCCTATTTCGTCACCCGTCTCTTTCATTCAAACGTATTCATTAAATTAACAACAAATAATTTATTGCACGAATATTGATGTTGTTGATAATTGCAGTCATCCTGCGAGCGAGTAACTCACCCCATCGTACTCACACATATTTTACTCACCTTACCTTGAGGTTACCTTGAGGTGCTTCCGGGGCTTAGCGTCCCCGCGGCCCGGTCGTCGACCAGGCCTCCTGGTCGATAACTCAACATAAAAATGCATAATATTTATAAAGGCATTCTCTGCAGTCCCAGAACCTATTGAGTGTACGAAGTTCAGGACTTTGTCGCGCTACCCGGACTCCCCCACCACGCCCGACCCCACGCCTGCTCAACGCACACGCCCACACCATAACGAGGCTCACAAAGGTTAGTTAACAAATGAATAAATAGCAACTTAGTGTAAGATAAGGTAATTATCAGCAAAGCTTAAATTACATTCTTTAGAAAGGTGAAGAAGAAATAGGGGCGATATGATAGAGGTGAATATAACATGACAAAGGGGGATATTAATAGCCTATTAAAAGCATCAACACGAGACAGAACACGAAACAATGGGTATCAATTGGATAAGTTTTTAGATTTAGGGAAAAAAAAGACCTGGGTAAATACTGGTTTGGTAACAAGGGTGAACATGAGATACATGATAGTTCATACTCTGTGGTGCTTCCCCTTTTCTACATGCAAATGGCTGATGGCGGGTTTCATTCATTCCTATGCTTAATAAACGATCCTTGACCTGACACTATAAATATATAACTTCCCGATAAGTAAGGGGAATAAATAGGACCTTCTGAATATTAATGGAGTAACATTATTGATGTGTGTATAAATGGAGAAGAAAGGGGATATTAATAGGAAATGGGCCTACTGAAGTTCATCATCTAATAGCGTCAGTTGATGTTCTGGTTAACATAGATTGGAAGTAAATAGGAGATTTAAATGCAAGGGAACTATGACTGGCTTGGTGTAAAAATTTGAGAAAACCTCGGGGCCTATGACCAGCTTTTAATCCCCTTGAACGTGCCTGTGCAGGGTTGCTGAGGGGCTAGCTGGTGACGTCATTGACCATTAGCGATGCCCGTGCAAGGGTCACCAGGGTAACGAAATTCGGCTATGACAGGACCCGGCCTTTTAATCCCCTTGAACAAAATGGCGGAACCTGGGAGGGTACCTTTTATCTCACATGTTGGAAAATTACATATGTTTGAACGGAGAGGACGATAAATGCATGAAAATATTAGGAGACTACGAGGTACTAATGAATATAAATTTAAAAACATACCCTGGGCTAGAGCCAGCCGTTGGAAAAATTGAAAACACCCCTGTGACTATGGCCGTGCGTGGGAAAAAGCAAAACGCGCGGGCATAGGCCTGGTTTCCACTACCACTTGAGCAAGTGCTAAGCCATTGTGAGTATATAGTACTTGGAAGGGATAAGAGGGACAGAAAAGGTGGGATGTGACGAGGAAAGGAACGTCGACCTGGCGGAAGCGTAGAGGTACCGACCAGTCCTAGTGGTTTGGTGAGGGCTTACTTAGTATCAGTTGTTCCACTCATTTTATATATGTATGAATTCATGACATGTTGTAACCTCTATAGAGTTTAATTTTTATGCTTTCAATTTAAAAATTAATTTAGAGTGATCAGATGAGGGTATGAATTTATCTAGAGGTTATAGAGTAAAGAACATTCCAGAGTTCTTGTGACGTAGGTATCCACGCTTATGGAGAACATCTCTAAAATTCAACTGATCACAAAATTCTTGTCAAGACTGAAAGTCAAATAAAATGCTGGTTATCCATCTATATATTTTACCTCATTGTCGTTTCCTCGAGGGGAGGGGGGGGGCCCTGTTGGGTCATTCTCTCGCGCACATTCTCCCGCCTAAACCGAAGCATCAACAACGCCTGGGGAAGCAAAATGGCAACGTTTGGGAGGCTGTTTCAGCTCTTCTCTCTGGCCCCGCTCCTGTGCCAGGTAAGTTACGGGTTCACCATAGCCTGTGCTACTTGGAACTTGTTCCGAGTAGCTGAATCTATAACAACATCTCTCTGATGACACTCATGCCAGATGGTAATTCAAATATCTGTAGATGATTCTGCGTGAAACGTTTTTTTTTAATGTTATACCAGAGTGAAGAAGAATCGCGGGTTCAGATCGATATTAACTATTTATCTATATGTAGTTATGAAGGATGGATCTACCTGCCTCTTCACCTTTGGGTATGTGGTGTAACCTACTCTAAATTCTCCACGAATCTATCGTTTGTTCCTTTATAAATGGGGAAATCAGTAGGAGCTATGAGAAAGATTCGAACCCGCACATTTGATACATTACGTTAATGTGATTTCATTGTGCATTATAAATGAGGATTGAATTAATCTCCACTACTTCTTCGTGCAGTTTGTCCCACATGATAACCGTATGTTGATGGAGCTTTTCCTTAGACCATTGTGGCTCCTTTGTTTGCTAACTGTGTCCTCTAGTTCTTCTCACTTGAAAGTATGTTCTTTAAGTACTGAGCCCGCCACAAAGCACTCAAACTGTGCCCCTTGGAACGAAGACGAGACATGCCTCACAATATACACATGACATTGGAAGGTCAGGTGCCAACCCTGTACAATAAAATGGCAACATACAGGTGTGGGAGACATGACAGGAAGGGTAAAATATGTCCCATGAAAAGTCTGGGAGCCGTAAGCACAGTGGGGGAACAGTGTAAACATCAGAGGCCCGCCATTCTTCACTCTCCTGCCAGCAACTGTAAGAAATGTCGCTGGAACAACTGTGGAGCTTTCAAGGAGCTCAACAAGTTTCTGCTGGAGTTACCGGATCAGCCAGGCTGTGATGGCTTCGGGGTGCGAAGACAAAGATCCTCTCAGACCGGACAATCACCAGGGAAGGCTGGCCGCAGGGGGTAAAACTCTCAGATATCATAAACAGGTAGTATAAATTTGTTCTTTACCAGTATTTTAAAATATATTTTGTTTCGTGTTAGGACCAACAATAATAGAAGAGATCTCTAACGGTTGGGACAAAGAACGCGATGGAAAACAACTTCCCGAGAGGAGCGAGGACTCGCGAGCAACACCCGCGCACAAGGTGCTCTCACTGTGTCAGTGTTGCAAGGCTGTGTTAAGGAGCCACCATCACCTTCCAGAGCACCCGACTCTGGCTCAACGTCTCAAGTATTACTTCACTTGCCCACCTCATGGCAAGGTAAGAGTTCATATTGTAATTTTTGTTCTTGTTGCAAGGCAGATTACGAGGTAGTGAAGACCACCGTTTTATATACTTATTATCACTTATTATAAGAATAACCTATTTTCTTTTAAATATTGAATCAATAGAGATGTTTATAGTAGAGAAGTATTCAAATGTTTTTGTGTTTTTGGACTTGAACAGTATTTTACTAAGCAAGCTGCTCTTATGTAACATAATAAATGGGGATCACTAGAGTGAATCACGGGCAGGTTAGATATATGGTTGAATGAGTTTGGGTGGATATGAGTATCATCCACGTATGGGTCAATAGGCTTTCCTATAATTCTTCTATACTAGGCCTTCTTAAAATATAATCCATTCACAATGAATCATGTTCTTACCTTTACTGAATAATAATAAGTTTTTCCTCTATTTAATCAGGTGGGCGATTGTCTGATGTGGTTGGTGATTGGCTTTGCAATCTGGGGCAGCCTCATCGCCTTGACCGGAGACTCTGCGCTGCCTGGCGGCAACCTCTTCAGCCTGGTGGTGCTGTACGTGCTGGCGGTGGTGGTGGGGGCCGCCGCCAGCCTGGCCGACCTGCCTCCCCTGCTCGGCAGCCTGCTGGTCGGCATACTCTACAGAAGCATACCTGGAATTAATATTCTGGCGCGTAATATCGATAGATCTTGGGCAACTGCTTTGAAGTAAGATTCGTCGTGCGTTGTAAATGTTTGAAGCATTAAATGCATTTAAAACAAAAATGAAATTATCATAATAATTAAACCTGCAAAAATTTGTCACATTCAATAGGTCATCAAAATATAATTCATTATTATGAATTATATTTTTATGGCCTAATGAATGTGACGAATTTTTGTAAGCTTAATTATCATGATATTTACATTTTTAAATAGTATGTGCGCGCAGGAGCGAATATATTAAATAGGTCAACCCATGCTACATTTAAGAAAGTACATATGACGTCCATAAGTACAATATGTGCACAATCTTGGATATTAAACAATCATAAATGTACGCTTGTAATCTATTGTTAACACGCGTTTAGCAACACTTGCACGTATAATAAACTAGTTAGGGGGGGAAGGGGAAGGGGAAACCCGGGGGTGTCCGGGTCTGTTTGTATGTCTGTCAGTCCCTCCCTCCCTTCCTCCCTTCCCATTCTCCTTACCTGCGATTCTCTCTCTCGTTTCCTTTAATTCTCTCTCTGTCTCTCACTTCCTCCCTTCGTCTCATTTTCCCTCTCAAATTCTCCTGTCCTCCCTTTCCCCCTCCAATGAATTCTGTCAATAGATGAATTCATTATTATTTAAACTAATTCAAAAGTCTATAGACACTGAACAGAACATTTAAAATTCACAGACTTTGTGAGGGTACTGGGCCTACCCGGACCTCCCCTACTGTGACACTCCCGATAACGTCATCCTGCAAAGTTCACTGAGGCGGTCCAGGCGTCTGGCCTCCTGTCTCAGGCAGATAGACACACATCCTGCCTATGATATAGATTAATTGGGTAAATGATTATTGCTAATCAGTGTTTAAACAACTCTAATACAGACATCCCGATACCATAATAACGAGGTAAATACACCGGAGTTAGAGGATTGGAAAGTAAAGCTCTTGTAACAGTTGCAAATGACTTAGAATAGCTATATCTAAAAGAGAGGACGAATGTCTGTCTGTCGAGAGGAGGAGGCCAGGCACTTGGGACTAGCCTCGCACAACTTTGCAGGGTGAATTATGTGGGGTACACGACAGACGTAGGCTAGTCGGGATCGGTCCTATTGGTCCTCTTAAGGGGGAAGGGAGCCCACTAGAGTTCCCCTTCTCAACTAAATCTGTGAAAGGTGGCTGACCGAGTCCCTAGATTTCTTCGTGGAAAGTGATGAAAAGGGTTAGGAAAAAGAGAAAGAGGGGTAGGAGAAGAAGAGGTGGTAAGGGTAGATGTGGAAGGGGCGGGAAAGGGAGAGGGGTAGCGGGAGAAAGATGATATGGGAAGAGGGAAAAGGGGAGATCAGGGGAAAGGAGTAGAGAAGAGGGGTGGAATGGGTGGTGGGGGTAGAGACAGACTATCCCCGGGCACCGCCGGGTTCCCCTCCTAGTGATATTATAACTAATACCTCGTCCGAGGTAACCATTGTAAATATAAACAATTCTTGATGATCCACTACAAGTACCTTTACAGCTATTGGATGGAAAGTTTGGATATTTAAGCTATGTGATGAAGGACAATTATCATAGCTGAAAAGGTCAGACACATTAATGTAAGTTCTGGGGAAATCAATTGGGGCAGTGTGGAGATTCGAACCCTTGACCTGGGTACTCCTGGCCGCGCTCCTTAACCGTAGGCCACAACATGGTAAAAGTTATACAACTTGGGATTCCACTGAAATCACAGGAGATTTGGAGGACCCAAATAACCAGACCAGGTTTTACATATACCCATGTCAATGGTTCGAACCCTCCTTGTTGCTCCAATTGATGTTCTCATTTATATACCACGTTACTGTGATTTCCTTGTGTATGACCGTAAGTTTTCTTACGACTGTATTACCAGCTCTCTGGTTTAGGTTACTATATACGGTCAAAGACTCGTCTCATGATTTTTATCATTATATTAAATACATTTTATCTTTTGTTTCAGAACTCTTCCTCTTATTATTATCTTAACACGTGCTGGATTAGGACTGGATGCTGTAGCCTTGAAGACTCTTAGCTTTACTGTACTGCGGCTGTCTCTCCTTCCTGTCTTAGTAGAATCAGCAACTACAAGTATCGCATCTAAGTTCTTCCTTGATCTTCCATGGGGTTGGAGTCTTATGCTCGGGTAAGCTTTTGTGGTTAATTATATTAATGTTTAGACATTTACGGTATAGTAGTAGTAGCAGTAGTAGGCATCCTTCAGTCTCGGAAGACTATGGAGTTGCGCCCTGACAGGGCGCAAAGCCTGGGTAGGTAGATATGGAGGAGAAGCTGTTACCTATGCAGCAACATGATACACTTCAACATAAACACACCTGCACACATGCTACACACCTGCTACACATACTCACCCTATCCTTACACCCCCTCATTCATCACACGGAGATGTAGAACGTCCCAGTGGCCTACGGCCGGGCGCGTGAACCCCCACCCTCACCTGGCTCAGGTGTCGCGCCTGGTCGTAGGCCCCATTTTCACTACCTGTCTGCTGTAAAGTTCTTGTATTGTGAAGTTATTGCATTGATTAGGTTGCATATATTGTGTTGCAGGTTCATCGTTGGAGCGGTGTCGCCGGCGGTGGTGGTTCCTGGGTTGTTAAAATTAAGCATGGAAGGTTATGGCGTGGAGAAGGGCATCCCAACTTTGGTCATCGCGGCAGCCAGTGTTGATAATGTCTTGGCCATATCTGGCGCAAGCATCATGTTGGGAGTAATATTTTCTGAAGGTTAGTTTCCTGTTACATTGTTTTGTTTCATTTTGTAACTAATACAAGTTACCTTTCTCTCTCCTCCCTCCCGCTTCTTATCTCTATCTCCCTCCTGCCTATTATCTCTCCTTCCCATTCTCTCTCTCTCTTGCTCAGAACATGCAACAAACACACTGTTAGCACAACATTATTTTTTACTCTTGTTGCTTTAATGTAATGTTGTTATGACATTTCAGTTCACACATTGTATGTGTAATGAACATCTAAAAATCTGTTGAAATATCTATATGGGAAAACCAAAACCACATTTCAGACCTCATACAGTTGTCACAATAGGAGGCAATTCTATTAGGCTCCCACTGGGGCATTGGGTCAACTCCACCAACAATAGTATCATTATCAGGTATCAAATATATAACAATAAGTACATAAAACAAACGTTTAAAACACGTACATGGTCATGTAGTTACATTTACGATTTTGTTTTGATTTGATTGTTGCATTAGATACTAACCTAAGTGAGCTACAGATAATGTATGAATGGTGAGTTTATATGTAGTAGAGCACTTGGGGACCTTAGTGAAGCTGACAGGACCGATACAAAGAACATTTCGTTTGAAGATTGTTATAAACAAAAGATTCCTTACGACATGTGTTGGGATACATTACCGGCATACGTTCCTTGCTCGTCGTATATAGGCCAGATTAATGCTTGGCCAGCAGCAGGTGAAGCTGTCCACGTATAGAATATTTTAGGTGGTTGTTTGGGTTCATACATTTCTGATTAGGGAAACAGTTGCATTTTGTACGGAGTGGCAACTGGAGAGACTGGGATGGTACGGTTCTGGGGGGGGGGGGGGACCGTTGTCTTCAACACTACATCACCGGTAGAGCCCAAGATAAGAAAATAGAGTAAAATAAAATAATAATTGTTAAAAACGGATAAGAATAGTTATTGATCAAATTGATTGAATCCTTAAGCTCTTCAGAACGTTTGTAGATGGTAGTAGTCGATATATATATATATATATATATATATATATATATATATATATATATATATATATATATATATATATATATATATATATATATATATATATATATATATATATATATATATATATATATATATACAGGTATATATATATATATATATATATATATATATATATATATATATATATATATATATATATATATATATATATATATATATATATATATATATATATATATATATATATATATATATATATATATATATATATATATATATATATATATATATATATATATATATATATATATATATATATATATATATATATATATATATATATATATATATATATATATATATATATATATATATATATATATATATACCGTTGTCTTCAACAATCATATACTCATACATATATGAGTATATGATTGCAACTATAGTTTTTTAACAAACATGATATTGTATTGCAGGTTCTTTAGTTTGGACGATCCTGAAGAGTCCTGCTCAGATGTTTCTGGGCGTGATATATGGTATTGCGTGCGGGCTGTTGTGTTGGATCTTGCCGTATCATGAAAAGATGAATCGAGCAACATATAAATTTATCCTGGTCTTCTGTCTAGGTGCTCTGGGCGTGCTTGGCAGTCGGGAGGTAATATGTCTCATTATTCTTTGTGCGGTTCCAAATTTTTGCCTGTTTTACCACTCAATGCAATTATATATTGATTGCTGATAGCTAGTTTACCTGTTGCCATACTACTCTCAAAAATTCAGGAATATGCAAATATTCCTGAATTTTTCTTTTCTAAAATTTTTGTAAATTGTAAGTATGGCATAGCAAATATAAGTTTATTTATTACAAATAATTTGTAACTCTAAACAAAGACCATAAAATATTAACATAACAAAGTCAATAAATAATTGAACAAAATAACACGTTCAAATAAGATATTTTTAGTAGGCCTCACATCCGTTATTCACACTAAATTAATTATAAAAGTGCAGCATTAAGGTCTATAGCTGAAGTTATGATACCTTACCCATGTAAGTTATAAATGTCACCATTTATGATATAAAACATTCCAACTAAATTTCTTGCTGCTTTCTTGCCAGGAAAAAACTATTTTTTTTCTTAAATATATTTCAAGCTTACGTCTTCTGGAGAGATGTCTGCTTCTTTCCCAGTGACTGTGGAAACGGACTCTTGAGTATTGATCTAAATTTGGCACAACAAAAAAGTATATCAAATATGAGCTTAATATATATATATATATATATATATATTATGTCAGTCACAAGTCAGCATGCTGGTGACTACGGGTTTAGGTTAGGCTGTAATAAGCATTAACTAGCATGCAGTTGCCTGTAACTTAGGTTAGGTTTGATTAGGTTAGGTTATAACAAGCATAAACCAGCATGACTGCTGATATAAAATTTTACACATAGACACCCAACCCACTCATCTGAAAATTATAAGTGACGACGTTTCGGTCCGTCCCGGATCATTATCATGTCGTCACTTCTTTTATTTTCAGATGAATGGGTTAGTTTTTCATATTTCTAACCAATTTCTTGTGACTCACTGTTTGATCCAAACAATATTTCTTCAAGTTAATGTTTTGTATACTGTTTTGCAGTATAATATTTTTTTAGACACTGCTTGTTGCATATATGTGTTGCAGAATTGTTTGTATTATCTCTTTTTTTTCAGACTTGCTTCTGGTATATACCTGTTTTAGACTGGCTTGTGCTATACACCTGTTTAAGATTTGATTGTGGTATATTCCTGTTTAAGACTTGCTTGTGGTATATTCCTGTTTTAAGACTTGTTTGTGGTATACACGTTATCAATTTGGCAATTTCCAGATTTGACATTTTATGAACGGCTTCACATTTCAGGTTGGGTTGGCAAGTGCAGGACCATTGTCAATACTGACTTTAGCCTTCGTTGCTGGGATGGGGTGGCGCAGACCAGGCTGTGAGGTAAGCCCACCTGAATGTTTAGACACCCCCTGTATCTACTGTAGATATAGGTTGTGGTAGATTATTGTTTTGGACAACCCCCCTCCCTGTACGTACTGTAGATATCGGATGTGGTAGATTATTGTTTGGACACCCCCTGTACGTGCTGTAGATATAGGATGTGGTAGTTTGGACACCCCCTGTACGTGCTGTAGATATAGGATGGGTAGTTTTTGGACACCTCCTGTACGTACTGTAGATATAGGATGGGTAGATTATTGTTTGGACACCTCCTGTACGTACTGTAGATATAGGATGGGTAGATTATTGTTTGGACACCTCCTGTACGTACTGTAGATATAGGATGTGGTAGAATAAGTTAGGTTATAACGTAACCTAAGGCAGTTAGGTTATACCCACCTATAATCCACCATATATAACCTAATTGAAGCAGCGAGCAGCTGCTCTCGCATTCCTTTTGTTGCGAAATTTCAACCCATTCTCCTGTTTAGATGGTAGCTTGTAAAACCCTCCCAGTATTTATCATTAAGAATCCGGTAATTTTAATAATCTAAACCTTATTGATTGTAAGTCAATAAATAATATTATATATATATATATTTTTTTTTTTGTGTGTGTGAGCAGGACCCTGAGGTCAGCGTCTACTACAGAATGGTGTGGAACGTCTTCGAGCCGATGCTCTATGCTTTAATTGGTGCAGAAATTGACGTAAGTTTACTTAATGTATTACTAGAATTTTCAAAAAATATGTTTGCAGTCCCTATGAGCGAAGTGGTTCTCTAAGACTCCATTGTGTCAAATTAGGTCTAGGAGATGTATCAAAGGATCTATAAGAGCTAGAGCAAGGGTCTATTAAAACTATATCACTGATTGTATTCTACTCACTAGGATTGCCTTTTACTAATTAAGATTGTATTAATTAATGTTGTATTTTTATAATTAAGATTGTTTTCTCATTAAGATTGTCTTCTCCCAGGTTGCATCAATAGACACCGGCACTGTTGGTTGGGGGCTGTTGACCTTGCTGCTAGGTCTGACCTTGAGAGTGACCACCTCCTTCCTTGTGGTAATGGGAGCCTCCTTTACCATATGGGAGCGACTCTTCATAGCCATCGCCTGGCTTCCTAAAGCTACTGTGCAGGTAAACGTGTTGTTCTTGTGATCTATTTGAGGATTATAGGTGGTATCCTAATTGCAGTGTTAGATTAGACAGATTGCATTGATTTGGCCAGGGCTGGTTGCATTGGTTAGACCAGGAGAGGATGTGTTGGTTAGACCAGGATAGAATGTGCTGGCTAGACCAGGGTAGGTTGCATTGGTTAGATCACAGCAAGCTGCACTGGTTAGATACAAGTGAGTAGAAGACAGAGTTAGAGCAAAAAAACCGATGCCTGTTGAAAAACTGGGAACCATTCAAGTTGGACATGTATTGTGATGCTCAGCACGTTCAAGGCATTGATGAAATATCTGTGTCTATTAACCAGGAGTGTAGCTGGCAGAGTTGTTGTTGATTAACCCTTACCGGCGTACCCGGTAAGGGTTAATCGCATAGCCCGGAAAGGTGAAACGCCAAGCCTAATCGCGAAATGAGTGAAGTCAATCTGGTTGGTTGATACCTGGTTGATGGGGTTCTGGGAGTTCTTCTACTCCCCAAGCCCGGCCCGAGGCCAGGCTTGACTTGTGAGAGTTTGGTCCACCAGGCTGTTGCTTGGAGCGGCCCACAGGCCCACATACCCACCACAGCCCGGTTGGTCCGGCACTCCTTGGAGGAATAAATCTAGTTTCCTCTTGAAGATGTCCACGGTTGTTCCGACAATATTTCTTATGCTTGCTGGGAGGACGTTGAACAACCGCGAACCTCTGATGTTTATACAGTGTTCTCTGATTGTGCCTATGGCACCTCTGCTCTTCACTGGTTCTATTCTGCATTTTCTTCCATATCGTTCACTCCAGTACGTTGTTATTTTACTGTGTAGATTTGGCACTTGGCCCTCCAGTATCTTCCAGGTGTCTCTGTAAACTAATATGCCTCGCGGCAAAGAAACGCAGACAGGGAGATGATTGGGGAGCCCCAGGAGTCCCTCAGGGTGACGCACCAGCCCCGCCTCACACAGAGAACACGGGGTAGTAAAACCAAAAACTCGGTCCCCCAACTAAAACGAAAAAGTCATCCAATGCCCTCCGGCAGAGAAGAAGCCCACCACGCCTGAGGGCACACCAGGAGTTCACCAAGACCCACCAACCCCCGGCACCTCTCGGCCAACCCGGCCCCCGAACACCGTCACCCCGCCGGGAAAACCAGCCAGAACACGTCAAAAAAATCTGTCACCAATCCCCTGAGTGCGCTAGGCGTCGTACAACCGGACTGTTGAATAGGGATGCCAAACGGCAGTAGCAAAACCAAAACGCGAAAACAGAATGTGATCCGGCGGCTCCCAGGCGGAGGAGGTGTCCAGACGTCCGCTCGTCGTCAAGGTTGAACCAGGAGTCCCTAGCTGACAGAGTGGCTACAGTCACGACCCTCAGTATCGAGAGGGCTTTAGCATAATATTGATCTGCTAATGGTTGATGCCCCAGTAGCCTAGGGTGGAATTCTTCCCCCTCTCATCTCCTTCCCCCTTCCCGCTCTCTCTATCGATCAACGAAGCTTGGTGTAGAAGAAGGAAGGAAATTGTCAGGAGAAAGCGCCAATCCATTAAGATTATTTAGCACTTGGAACGGGTCAGGATTTGGGATGGGACGAGGGGAAGGAATGGTGCCTATCCACTTGGACAGTCGGGGATTGAACGCCGACCTGCATGAAGGGAGACCGTCGCTCTACCGTCCAGCTCAAGTGGTTGGGCAATTTGTGTTGAAGAATGAAACTCTGGAGGCGCTGGTTGGGCTCGTGTTGAGGATAGGGTAGTATGACATCATGAGTTTATATTACAAGCCATTACAGGTAAAAGTATAATAGTTAGAATTATTAAAAAAAAATTGCAGACATCAGTGTTTCATGTTTTATATTAAAGTAAAAAAAGAACAAAAATAATCCTGGGTCAGGATTGTCCAACTCAATAGTGCCGATTTCTACTTTAAAGTTTCGTTGTACGTCGCTATATATATACTATGGTCCTCATGATATAATATTCCAAGAATCCTCATGGCATTGTCACTGGCACAGTCTCAAGTGGCACTCGTTTCTTTGTTGCCAACCTAAACTCGACCATATTGGGCACTTACCCCACACGAATCAGGGGGCAATGTTGGGTGAGGCTTTCTCCAATTGTCGGGCATCCAACCTCTAGTAGACAATTTAATTTATATAGAGATATATAACTACAGTTTCTATTTTATAAATTCAAAATCAAAATTAAATGCTTTATTTATAGATATCTGTACATTTATAGTTGGGATAGTTTCACAAATTTAAAATAAATTATTTACTCTAAAAGAAAGTCATAATAATATTATAATGTGCATGTTTACTGTGTGCTCAAGATTTACATTTACATTTAGAAGCTACATTCATCAGTAATTAAAAAATCATTACAGTTGTCAGATTCTTAGTCCAAAAAAATATGCTTAGAACATCATAATTCAAATCATTACTATATAGTTGCTGAACTAAACAGGTATACACATTAGGCTAAATCAAACTCTCATTTATTGTATAACGAAACTAACATTTGCCTTACCATTTTGAAAGTTGATATATACACTGAAAAAAACAGAGGGGTAGTTACACACTCATTATTTGATATATGTCTCAGTGTACTTAAGAGTCATGAAATAACGTAGTATTTTCCTTGCATGACGTCGGCAGGCCGCGATAGGCTCTCAAGCTCTTGATTACGTCCGCGAACATCAGGGTGACGCCGTTGATGTCACCAGAGGACAACAGGTAAATACACCAAGATATATTTCATTTATTTTACAGCAAAATACACAGTTTGTATTACGGTTTATTCCATTTCTCGTTGTGTATATACAGTGAGGATTTTAGTATTGTTGCCGCCAGTGGTGCTTAGTTTATTGAGTACTCCATACTCATCCTGTGAGCGGTAGCGAAAGAGGATTACAGAGGACACAAAAGGTTTAATCAGACCCCAAACAGGTGTTTGTCTTTGTGTTTTAAAAAGCACCACACCACCTTATGATCACACACACACAGCAACAGCTTGTAACAGACGTCTTCCTCTGCGACTTCTGTGAATTACAATATATTATCATATAGTGAAGGTAAGTAAGTCATTTTGTTAATATTGAAACTAATTTTCAATATCATATATTACAGCCTTTACGGGACAACAGAAGAATTGCCGGTGATGATTTTAGTCTACATAACTTCATACATATGTCATTATGTATTAAATGTTAAATATGAATACACTGCAAGGATTTCAGATTGAAACTGATATTATTTACCATTTTCTTGCATCGAGGACCCCCCCCCCCCTCCCTAGGTAGAACTAACCCCAAACAAAACCGTTGCGACTATTTTTCAGGTCGTGACCATAGCTGTGTTGTCCATACTAGCGACGGCGCCCATTGGAGCCGCCATCATCAAAATCACCGGCCCCAGATTCCTGGAGAAAAAGATCGTCGTGAATCCCGAGGCTAATGTGTAGGAACGGAGACGTTTATAGTGCCAGGAGGTCACAGGGGTAGAGTTATAGTGCCAGGAGGTCACAAGGGTAGAGTTATAGTGCCAGGAGGTCACAGGGGTAGAGTTAGGGGTGCCAGGAGGTCACAAGGGTAGAGTTATGGTGCCAGGAGGTCACAAGGATAGAGTTATGGTGCCAGGAGGTCACAAGGGTAGAGTTATGGTGCCAGGAGGTCACAAGGGTAGAGTTATGGTGCCAGGAGGTCACAAGGGTAGAGTTATGGTGCCAGGAGGTCACAGAGGTAGAGTTATAGTGCCAGGAGGTCACAGGGGTAGAGTTATGGTGCCAGGAGGTCACAGGGGAAGAGTTATAGTGCCAGGAGGTCACAGGGGTAGAGTTATAGTGCCAGGAGGTCACAAGGGTAGAGTTATGGTGCCAGGAGGTCACAAGGGTAGAGTTATGGTGCCAGGAGGTCACAGGGGTAGAGTTATCGTGCCAGGTCACAGGGGTAGAGTTATGGTGCCAGGTCAGAGGTAGAGTTATGGTGCCAGGAGGTCACAAGGGTAGAGTTATCGTGCCAGGTCACAGGGGTAGAGTTATGGTGCCAGGTCAGAGGTAGAGTTATGGTGCCAGGAGGTCACAAGGGTAGAGATATATTGCCAGGAAGTCACACAGGGAATTATTGTGATTGGTGTCAAAGGGAGTTATGGTGCTAGGTCACCACAGGAAGTTACGATGCCAGGAGGTCACAGAAGACGTTATGGTGCTAGGTCAGAGGGATCTATGGTGCTAAGAGTTCACAGAGGGAATTATGATTCTAGCTGTCAAAGGAAGTTATGGTGGCAGGAGGTCATAGAGAGAGTTATGGTGCTAGCAAATCACAGTGAGAGTTACGGTGATAGGAGGTCACAGGACAAGTCATGGTGACAGGTCACAGAAACATATAGTGCCTGGGACACAGAGGGAGTTATAATGCCAGAAGGTCACAAAGTTATTCTATAGGCGAGGTTCCATTACAATTTTCATACATATTGTGAATTAACTATATATATATACATATATATGTATATATATATAGTTAACATGAATATATATATACAACATGAATATATATATATATATATATATATATATATATATATATATATATATATATATATATATATATATATATATATATATATATATATATATATATATAATAGGGTGGTAGGAGAGGAAAAGATTAAAGTATTCAGTGAGAATCCACAAGGTCTTCTCTGAACACTATTTATTTTCTTCTTCGAGGATGTGGGTCCCTTTAATTAAACCAGTGGTGGTACCCCTATATATATATATATATATATATATATATATATATATATATATATATATATATATATATATATATATATATATATATATATATATATATATATATATATATATATATATATACACATATACATATACATATATACAAGCACCGTCCCTGACCACTGGCCTCTTATAAGCACTAAAGATAATGGTGTTTGTATTCTGGGAGCTTTTTATTAAATAAATAAGTAAATCTTATCATAATTTTTTTCTTTTCAAACTATTTGTATTTGACTATTTTTTTATCTGTACTCAAAATAGATATTACACTCACAGTAGATATTACAACCACAGTAGATATTAAACCCTCGGTAGATATACCGAGATATAGATATATATCTCGGTATATATATATTTATGATATATATAAAACCTCGGTATAGCTATACATCTACAGCTCTACGGCTCTACAGCTGTATAACTCTACAGCTCTGGAGATATACAGACCTACATCCCTGACGCTCTACAGTTCTACATCTCAACAGCTGTACAGCCTCCACAGGTCTAGAGCCTAACAGCACCAGAGTCCTACAGTTCCATACCTCTAGAGTGCTAGAGGTGTAGAAGGCTACAGAGGCACACTAAGAGAGCCACACTCGTCTCAAGAACTTAACATTCTTGACCTTCACGACGCAAGAAGTGGCGTGACGTCACCAGGGAATATTGTCCTAGATAATAACTGAACAGGATTTGATTTTATGGAAAAAGTGTGGAGAGCCAGAGCTGTGTGGGGGTGACAGGGAGGTGTTGTGGGGGGTGACACGGAGGTGTTGTGGGGGGGTGACACGGTGGTGTTGTTGGGGTGACACGGTGGTGTTGTTGGGGTGACAGAGGTGTTGTTGCAACAAGAGAGCAGTACATAGTAGAACAACATGAACATCATAACATCATGAACAATCACAGTTGCGGCGCCAGAGAGGCGGCGCCAGACTATGGAAAAGTTACACCTGTGTAGAAGTTAACCAGGGGGACAGGTCAACAGTCACTGAGTCACGAGGTGGTCAGAGTTGACGCCGTCCTGATAGTCCACAGGGATTAACCCCTCCACATCATATGCAACCTCGCATGTTGAGCTGGGGAGCAGGAGATCGCGGCCAGGGACAGTAGAGTGGGAGAAGCCCCAGGAGGACGGTGTGGGTCGACGCCGGGAGAGACCGTCATCTCGAGGGATATTGTGGAACACCATTGGAGTAAGTACGGCTCTCTTGAACTAAAGCATCTTATCATTCATTTATTCTCTGTCTCTGTTAGGGAATATAGTTAGGAAAGTGTCTATTTAATTGTTTCAAATTAAGTCATATAGTGTGTATTAATGGTTCCTTGTCTTTGTGATATTGGGCCTACTGTTCTCTTTGCCCTAGTGACCTTGTGTCCTTAATTATCCAGTACGCCTCCCCCGTCCGTCCCTTGTTGAGGTTTTAGTATTGGGTGTATCCCGCCTTATTCCTGTGTACTTTATAGTTCCCCAAGTGGTCAGGATTATTCCAGTGACAGGCCAGGATCCTCACACCATTGAATTGCCCTTTAAACCTGTCCTGGTAGGATTACACGATCAACAAGCTCTATGAATCTCACTCCGGTCCCCTGTCTGGTAACTCAGGGTGGTGGCAGCGTTACTTGGTAACTCATACGAAGGCCGTGGCAACTAATATTTCTACCTCACTCTCTCATTCACTCTCGCTCTCCCACACACTCTCCCTCAGTCTCTTTTACGTTCTGCTCCTTCAGGTTGCCGACGCAGTTCTCAGTATATATTGATTTATTGTTTAGGTCCTCGTATGACGGCCGAGTGTTAACATCTTACAAGATCGGTAGAGCATCCGTTAGTACAATAGAAGCAGCGGAGTTAGTACCAGTTATTACATTGTTGGGGGTGACACGATGGTATTGTGGGGGGTGACACGGTGGTGTTGTGGGGGTGACACGGTGGTGTTGTGGGGGTGACACGGTGGTGTTGTGGGGGGTGACACGGTGGTGTTGTGGGGGGTGACACGGTGGTGTTGTGGGGGTGACACGGTGGTGTTGTGGGGGGTGACACGGTGGTGTTGTGGGGGTGACACGGTGGTGTTGTGGGGGGTGACACGGTGGTGTTGTGGGGGGTGACACGGTGGTGTTGTGGGGGTGACACGGTGGTGTTGTGGGGGTGACATGGTGGTGTTGTGGGGGTGACACGGTGGTGTTGTGGGGGGTGACACGGTGGTGTTGTGGGGGGTGACACGGTGGTGTTGTGGGGGGTGACACGGTGGTGTTGTGGGGGGTGACACGGTGGTGTTGTGGGGGGTGACACGGTGGTGTTGTGGGGGGTGACACGGTGGTGTTGTGGGGGGTGACACGGTGGTGTTGTGGGGGGTGACACGGTGGTGTTGTGGGGGGTGACACGGTGGTGTTGTGGGGGGTGACACGGTGGTGTTGTGGGGGGTGACACGGTGGTGTTGTGGGGGGTGACACGGTGGTGTTGTGGAGGGTGACACGGTGGTGTTGTGGGGGGGTGACACGGTGGTGTTGTGGGGGGTGACACGGTGGTGTTGTGGGGGGGTGACACGGTGGTGTTGTGGGGGGTGACACGGTGAGCTGGGAACCTAAACACCCAACTAACCCTAAACTACGCCTATCTATATACAAAATTTGAATATATAAGAACATTAATGTTTAATTTAAGAAAACATATTTTAAAAAAGTTGATTGTAATTGATGGATCCATGTCTGCGGTGAGCCTAGCCTGAGGACGGTCAACAGGGCACCTGGGAGTTAGGCAACTGTTGTGGTTTGTGCTTGGTAGAGGTCGGTAAGCTGGCCTTGGGGCGGCCTGGGTCACTGTTGTGTTCTCACTGTCTGGTACACCGTGTGTGTGGTGCAAGACATATCACTGCCTGGTACACTGTGTGTGGTGCAAGACACATCACTGTCTGGTACACCATGTGTGTGGTGCAAGACACATCACTGCTTGGTACACCGTGTGTGTGGTGCAAGACACATCACTGCCTGGTACACCCTGTGTGTGGTGTAAGACACATCACTGCCTGGTACACCGTGTGTGTGGTGCAAGACATATCACTGCCTGGTACACTGTGTGTGGTGCAAGACACATCACTGCCTGGTACACTGTGTGTGTGGTGCAAGACACATCACTGCCTGGTACACCGTGTGTGGTGCATGACACATCACTGCCTGGTACACTGTGTGTGGTGCATGACACATCACTGCCTGGTACACCCTGTGTGTATGGTGCAAGACACATCACTGCCTGGTACACCGTGTGTGTGGTGCATGACACATCACTGCCTGGTACACCGTGTGTGTGGTGCATGACACATCACTGCCTGGTACACTGTGTGTGGTGCATGACACATCACTGCCTGGTACACCCTGTGTGTGGTGCATGACACATCACTGCCTGGTACACCCTGTGTGTGGTGCATGACACATCACTGCCTGGTACACCCTGTGTGTGGTGCATGACACATCACTGCCTGGTACACCCTGTGTGTGGTGCATGACACACCACTGCCTGGTGCACCCTGTGTGTATGGTGCATGACACAGCCATACAACACATTTCCTGACAATGACATACCGTATAAAGGACTCTGAAGTCCTATTTTTTGTCTTTCGGGAATACATTTTCTTTCTCTCATAATGTGTGTGTGTGCGTACTCACCTAGTTGTACTCACCTAGTTGTGTTTGCGGGGATTTGAGCTCTGGCTCTTTGGTCCCGCCTCTCAACCGTCAATCAACTGATGTACAGATTCCTGAGCCTACTGGGCTCTATCATATCTACATTTGAAACTGTGTATGGAGTTTACACATCACTTCCTAGTGCATTCCATTTGTTAACTACTCTCACACTGAAAACTTAAAAATCTTTCTAACGTCTCTGTGGCTCATCTGGGTATTAAGTTTCCACCTGTGTCCCCTTGTTCGTGTTCCACCCGTGCTAAAGAGTTTGTCTTTGTCCACCCTGTCAATTCCCCTAAGAATTTTGTAGGTGGTTATCATGTCTCCCCTTACTCCTCTGTTTTCCAGCGATGTGAGGTTCAGCTCCCTTAGCCTTTCCTCGTAGCTTATACCTCTCAGTTCCGGAACTAGTCTGGTGGCATACCTCTGAATCTTCTCTAACTTTGTCTTGTGTTTAACTAGGTATGGACTCCAGGCTGGAGCTGCATACTCCAGGATTGGTCTTACATAAGTGGTACACATGGTCCTGAACGATTCCTTACACAAGTTACTAAAGGCAGTTCTTATGTTGGCCAGTTTAGCATATGCCGCTGATGATATCCTTTTGATGTGGGCCTCTGGGGACACGTTTGGTGTGATATCAATCCTTAGATCTGTCTCTGTATTTGACTCTTGCAGGATATCACCTCGTAGACATTGTGTTCAGCCTTCTGCTCCCTTCACCTAATTTCATTACTTTACACTTTCCTGAGTTGAACTTTGGGAGCCATTTTCTAGACCATTCCACCAGTTTGTCCAGGGCATCCTGTAGTCTCTATCTATCTTCATCTGTCTTGATTCTTCACACAATTTTTGCATCATAAGCAAACATTGAGAGGAATGAGTCTATACCCTCCGTAAGGTCGTTTACATATATTAGAAACAGGATGGGTCCAAGTACAGAGCCCTGTGGGACTCCACTGGTGACATCTCGCCAACTCTGATGTCTCCCCTCCTCTCTGAAGGGAGGGGCACTGACGGC